AGGTGACTATCTGCACAGTGCCCAGGATAGGTTTTCATTCAGAACAGGCCTATTTTCTATTTAAGGCATTTCACTCAACTAGAGATTCTAAAAGATCAAATATCACACTATAGGTTCTCCTTCATGCTTTGCAAAGGAGGTCTTACATGCTTTAAAGCACAGTTTTACTCATGTCATCTGCCAGAATAAAGCACAGTGGGCCCTTTGACCTTGGAAAGCAAAGCACACTGGCAGATTGTGAGAAGCCTATGGGTAGCATCTGAAAGGCATGAAAATATTTATGTCCATGTTCATACTTCCCCGAAAAATCTTAATACCTCAAAATCTTAGTGTAACACCTATAAACCCCAAGAGGTGTGGAAGCATTTGGAAGTTATTGTGTCCGACTTACAATTTTTCCCACTGTAATTTTAGGCAGCTGACAGCTCAAATATTATGTAGTTTGTTGAACTTGTTAATAAATGGAGACAGGGAAACAGATAGACAAGTTTGCTCCACTTAGGTGGCAACACTGAACACACACACACACAACACACACACAACACCCCCAGAGAATTGTTAGGTGGCGCTAGCATTGCTCAGCAATCACCTCAGCCTGGTGGGTGCACCTTGGGGAGAGCAGGAGGCACTGAGGCCAGATGTGCCTTCTATGCAGGATGGTTTAGTTACAATTTACTTTCCTCTTGGCCATATTACCCTCACAGTTCTGGTCACACAGCAAGTCACATTTGAGAAAAAGAAACTTTATGAACTGTACCAGGACCCAAGAGCTAAAGCAATGTTCAACTGAAATACAATCTGTCACCACTGTCCTTCCATACTACTGGCTCACCTAAGTGTTATGTAAAGTTGGATACCATCACAAGTGGTTAGAAAATTTTTGGATGAATCAATGAGCAACATATTTTCCAAGCCCTAAAATAGTCTACTAAAACCAAATCTGCAGTCAATAATGTTTCCTACTTCTAATTCTAAATGCTTAGATTTCAGCACAGTTGTTTTCCTTGTCGATGGTGAGACCTTCCACTCACTGAAAATTAAGGACTGATTTTAAAACTTGATACTGTATGACTTGCTAGAATAGAACTGGACATAAACATAAAAAAAAAAAACAAACCAGAAAGTTCAAGTGATTAATGACAGAAATACCCTTCTCAGAAATGTCCTAGAAATACTCCCTAGTTTCAGAATTACGAATCACAGCATTTATGAACCAAAACTGACTTAAGTCAAGTTTTGAGGCCCCAAACACACAAAAATGTGATGTCTTGCACATAGTTACAGATATTTAACCTTCCAGAACTCTCTAGATCTTCAAGTTCTACCTATCTCTAAATTTCTTCTCATTCCAAAATGAAATAATAACAATTTCTATAAACTGTAATAAAATTCCATTAAAACACCAGACAAGAAAAAAAATCTTAAAGGTGATTAGTCATCTTATTACAGACATATCTTCAACAGCCTGACAGCAAGCCCATTCAAGGTAGCCATCCAGCCTATAGGCTAGAGGTCATTGCTGCCTCTACATGTAGGTGCTCAGATTCTTTCCTCTCTGAGAATAGATATTCTCAGACTAAAAAAGACTAGAACCAAACTTTACACTTTTGAGACAAGTATTATACGTGGAAGCACATGATTCAAAAGATGAGTAACATCCCCTGCACCCCCACTACTATCTCCCCTCTTCTTTGGAAGGCATTCAGTGTTAGCTCAGACTGCTCCAACCACAGGCACCAAACAAGCTCCTCTCAGAGCCTGGAGTTTGGCATCACTTCCACTATGTCTGCATAGCCGTGGCCTTTAAAGCAGATGTAGGTCTGCATCATTCCTGGTAGCTATGAGCCTAGATTTCACATCTGCCTTGTCTTAGGGGGAATTTACTGAGCCGAGACATTGAGCTGGGTTGATCCAGCAAAACAGAAAAGTCAAGTTTTGAATGAATATATCTCCACTGTTTGGACTTTCTCTGGATCTAGCACCCTCATGCCTCAATTTCAACAGAAAGGTGTGTATGCAAACTGCAATAAGACTCCCCGTGGCTGGCCATTGGGATAGCTCTGCCTATTCCATAGGGAGAAATTCTATATATCATGGATCTTCACTGTCCAGCCCAGGAACACAGACATCTAGTGCTCACCTAGTGAATCCCACTGCATAAAATTTAGCCCCAGGTTCTCAAAGTTTCCCTGCCTGTTATTTCCCAGACTGGTATTCCCAAAGGATGTCAAAAGCAAATCCTGCCATTACATGGAGTCTTTTCTCTTTCGTGCAGACTACAGACAAACAGGACAGGAGAATGCTCCTAATTTCCAACCCACTTGAAATTAAGTATTACAGTATCTTTTTAGGCAGAGGGGACCCTCAGTGTCTGCAATTTTCTCTTAAAGCTAATTAATTCCTGCAGATTAATTAATTCCTGAAGATCCCAGTGCTTATATGGCAATCTGACTAACTCATATCATAATGTGCAGTACTTGGACTCTCAAAATAACTAACAGGAATAATACATGCTAACCACACATACCAAAACATTGTGCTGTTAGTCATTGTTCCAGGCATGTTAATTAACATTTCCATAGTGTATGTATTACATTGCTCAAAAAAATTATTTTTTTAATAATCAAGCCACGGAACAGAGTCTGAGATCACAAGAGTCTGGGTCACAAGAAGAGTCTGGGTTAAAGCCACAGAAGCTAAAATGGAAATTCTGAGCGACATTTCATTTCCAACTCCACATGTTTTATTTTGTTTATGAAAGAACTAATTCAGTGGCTGAAAAAAAATTTGAAAGATACTCTTGAAAAGGAAGAGTGAATACCACTGAAATCCTATATTTCATATTTCCTTCTCAAAACTGCTGTCAGAAACTAGCAGCACTAATAACCCATTAAAAGACACAAACAAAAAAGTAATGGATGAAGAAGAAGATGAAGATTTTCCTTAATATGTTAACTCCTCTCTTTGAAAAGGTATACAACTGAAATAGCAGTAGAAAAGTCTTTTTAAAGAATTCACCTTCCAATCAAGGCAGATGGTTAAAGCCTGGCTAAGCCTTGCAGCATGTGTAACCAGCTCCTAAACTCTGTTCACTGCACAGTAACTCAAAAGCAATTGACAACTACAGCTAGGTGAGATAAATCACAAACATTCTTATAATTTCCTCAAAGGAAACACTTAATACCAAGTTCAAATACCTGTTCTACACAATATGAGATGTACACTTGGAGATCTAGTCAAGGAAAGATTTGTAATATCCAGAAGAGAAACAAGGTTAAAAATCCCTAAAGGAAGAGAGAGGCAGATTTTCTATTAAAAGGGAAGACTCCACTAAAAGGTGTCTGGATTTCTGAACAAGGTTTTAAAAGGAAAAGTCAGCTCCTGAGAATGTGATATTCTCAATCTGAAAAAGAAAGAAATGATTAAATATTTAAAACAATTAGAAGAAATACAGTTAGAATTTAGATTAAACCATTCTCCTGAAAGTCTCATTTTTCTTTCCTCTTCCCCCACATACATTTTGGAAAAAAATATATTTGTATATTTGTCTATTTGTATATGTCCAAATTATTGGAAAGAGAGACATTGTTCTCAATGTCTTTTGCAACAGAGAAAATGTTGTACCGTTTAGGGTGGGCATATTTTTCAGTCAAGCATTACAAGGAGCACTGGACTAATAGATGTGACAATGAAGGCATTTTGTAATATTCCTGTTATATAATGTCTTGATTTCTGTAGATGGTTAGCAGCAATAGTGCTGCATTGGACAATGTGAAGTCATCTCTCAAAATAATAGAATGTGACAGGCCAAATGCATTCTGGGTTGATTTGCACAAGGGATGAATATAGAATATCTCACTGCAGTGCAGCCATTCCCATATCCATCTGATGAGGTCAAAGATGCTTATAAGTTCCAGAAGTGGAACTTAAGTGGGGGGAAAACCTTGTGCTGTCCAAGAGTGTCTTCTCTTTTACTTAATGACTAGTGCATTGTAATACAGCAATTAAACTAAACATGTACAAGAAAGGGATCTTGGGGATTTATTTATTTCTACATCTCAATGGCAGTCAGCCTACAGAAAACATGGAGGAGTGCGTTCAGCATGTGGGGATAATCATGTAGTTAGGAAGCAATGTTTAATCCAGTTGAGGCTGGCAATCTCTGGATATTGATGCACAGTGTCATCCACTGCCTTGTAGCATTTCCACATGGGTGATCTATTACTTTGCAGCACTAGAATCTGCATTTGATTTCTTAGCCTCTTATCTACTCCTCAGGGATCCAGTAAATCCATCAGAATTTTACAACTGCCATTCTCTCTAGGCTGTGTCACACTCGCAGTCAAGGATTAAATTCAGGCTTCTAAAGCAGCTGCTACTTGCAGCTTTCTGCCCTGCACTTCAGACAGAGATTGCCAGTGCCCCTGCAGGAAGTCTGAAATCCAGAAAAGCACCTCCTGAGCACCCCAAGCCTGTTTATACATCCACTTTAATCACAGTCCTCAGCTAAGAACAGCAGCAGTACAGAAGCTGACTGGATCACGACTCAGTTTTGGTCAGAAGTGGGGACAACAACTTGGGCAGGACCCATGTGAGCCATCTGAATTTACTCTGCTTCTCCATGTGAATGAACCCTTGGACTTCAGCAGTGTTTATAAATTAGCAAATGGCAACCCTTCCAAAAGCAATTGTTTCAGGACAACAGGGATACTTCAGCTGTCTCAGACTCTTATTTTATCAAGAGATTTACAGACCCTCAGTTTTCATTGTTTTTTTTTTCCCGCTTTTTTTAAAAATAATTTTCAGAGTCATAAATGAAACAGAAATGAAGGTTGCTGTGCATCCTTCTCTGAACCTCATGAAGACCTGCATTAAGTCACTGTCTTCACTCTCTTCAGACACTTAGGATTAATTATATGAAACACAGAAGTATTATATAGCAAATAATAGAGGCTTATTTACATGTTTTTATTATACAGAATAAACAGTAAAATAGTTGGTGATTTTAAATGATAAACTTTTATTCTGAATATACTGTTTTTGCACAATAATTAACACAACAGTTCTAGGATTATAAACTTTTTATAACATTATTGTACAAATTTTTACAAAAAATTATTTTTCCAGGCTTGTCAAGTTCCACAAAAGTGTCAAGAGAACACAAGAAAAGGGAGAAAGACCTGCTTGCCTCGTAAGAGCAACCAAGTCTTTTTTTGCAGAAACGTACACTGAGCATTTCAATAAAAATATCCCAGAAAGCATGATCCAGACATTCCATACAACACAAGAAGAGAAAACAGCTTTGTCAGATCACAATCGCAATTTCATGGCATCTGAACAAGACAGTATCCCTTTAGCCTCAATGAAATATTTCTTCAAGATGATGTTTTTCTTTTAAACCATAAACAGGACAGATGCAAGTAGCTGTGAACAGGGTGAGGCTAACTTTTCAAAAGTCTTGAATTGCATTCAGATGCTTTGTTTTAATCTTTTTACAATAGTGTACAATGAGTATTAACAATATTAACATTGTGGTATGAACAAAATAATAATAAATGTGGCCTTTGTTAAAGGCTTGGATGTCTGATGAAGTTAGGGTAAAATTTATCCTAAGAAAGGAGTTATTAAGATTTCACCTTAGGTTGACATTCCAAAAACACCCGAGTGCATTGCAATGCCTTGCAGGCATTAATATATTTCTTAACAACCAGTGTGCTAGCATCTGAATTTTTGGATCAGTGGTATTGAGGTCGTGTTTTGGAATTAAGTCATACTAAGCATGTTTGTTATGTGTTAATGGGAAAAAAAGTCTTAATGTCTCTTCAGTGACAGCAAAAAGCTCTCAACCACAGCAAGTAACACTTGGGTTGCAAAGGTCACTTAAAAGGGATACTGCCTATTTGAAACCAGTAAGGCCAGGTTTTAAGTTAATAAAAGGAATATTGTAGGAAAACTTACAAATGGCAGCAACACTGTTGTTTTTGTCAAGTTAAGCAGTAAAGCCTCAAGCATTAGAAACATGAAAAAGATCATACTAAAGTCTTAAAGGTACAGGACCTAAAAATCTTGTCAATCAGACCTGCTATGTCATGTTAAAAACCTGTTACAAATATGGACCACGGTCAGTGTTTCGGCAGTAATGCTGGTTGTTTAAAAGAAAAAAAAAACTAGAAAGAAACCTTTCATGTTAAGTCCTCAGATTATGTTTTGCACAGTTCCATGCTGTAACAACTTTACTGGTGGTTACTTGTCAGATGTACAATACACTGCACAACTTCTGAGTGAACTGAACCAGTCCCAACCGTTCCCTTTGCACTATTTAAAGGAGTTGAGCAACCATTGACAGAGCCTTTTATCTGACTTTAAAAAAAACAGCTTTTTACAGTATATCATATTTTTAAATAATTTAAATTTTAGGATCAAGCTTCTCCTTTCAAAGACAAGAGAAGATGACTATGATGCACTGTGAGAATAAGGATACTCTTCTGCATGAGAATTTGTTCATTTGTGTTTATTTGTGTGAGTTATTTCTGTCAGACTGGTATTTGAGATAGCTAAAGTTCAGATTGCATTTTTGGTCTATGTTTTTCATTTTGCAGATATTGAGGTATTTAAAAAAAAGTCTTGAAAATCACTTGAATATATTCTAATATATAATTTCACACTACTTTCTAAAGTATTAATAAGATGGGAATCATATAGAGCATTATAATGTTAGCTGGAAGGCTAAATGTTTATATAGAAACACGTTTCTTCAGTCATATAGAGGGGTGAAGGAGAGGAACAAAGGACATTTCCTTCTTTGGATCATCCAGGAGGGCTGTGTGTCTGCATGGCATGGGCTTCTCCCTCCTTTTGCATCTGAGTACTCTAAGGGAAGTGGGATGAGAGCAAAAGCCACAGATGTTTCCTGTGGCAGCATGAATTTGTGCCATCTTTCTTTCTTCCAACAAACTCTAATCAAGCACTTATTGAGTAACTCTGAACATGGCCTACCAGCAAAGGCAAAGTGTTTTAAACAGTACAACTTGTCCATGAAGGGTTTCTTTTGGGAAGTTAAGTGAAAACTATAGAGAACTTATTATAGTAACATGAAATTAAAAGAGCACAACTCAAACCAACGAGTATTTAAAGTAACCTCAGAGTAAAAGCAGTGAGTGCAGTAATTATTGGCCTAATCCTAGAAAACTTGCTCCTCCCATAAAATGTCAACTGACCACATTAAGGAAAATCACTGGATGCAGTCTTGGCATTAGAAACACTCAAACAATTTTTTTTATCAGGTGGTAACTGGTGCTAGAGTGAACAGAACTACAGCACTATGACTAGAAGGAAGAGCTCCAAGTTTATCTTCACCCTTATCATCAACATTAGCTCACCTTCCCTGAGGAGGACCTGAGGTCATCCAGAACAGTTAATTGTACTTTTAACCCCATTAAATTACTAGGTATATTTTCTTTTTAAATCTAGATTTTATCACTGAACAAAAGGTCAGGATTTCTGTTTTTCACTCACTGTATTTCCAAACATGAGAAAATACATAGCTGGAGCCAAGGTACATGAAAAACAATGAACCAGCCATGAGTACAATTACTGTAGACGTCTCATCGTTCAAGCCATGCCATGGCTTTGAGTAGCTTCTTCAGTTTTCATAGGATATTAATGCATGCCCAATCATTTTCTTAAGCTTTTGGCATGATCAAAATTATATCAATCAATTGCCAGCATATACATACTGATGATTTGCATTTTTTTTAATGAGCTAGTGTATTGTGCCATATTAATATTTGCATATTGCAGTTGTTAGCAGAACTGTACAATACCGGCAGAGTTGCACATTCATTGGTTTAGCTGTCTTGCAATACTGTTTAGTTCTGAAAACTAGAAAAAAAAGCGCAAATCATATTTTGCATCAACACTATGCTACACTGTAATATTGTAATTTACTGCACCAACCTGTATCACCAATGAGGTTGTATAAAAACAACTTCTAGAGTTATTATTCACAATCAAGTATCAATGTGCATACATATAGATTCAAGGCTCCCCATTTGTTTATATTTTTTCTAATCGCAGCAATCAGGTCATTTTGCTGTTAAATATGCTATTTTCAATAATAAATAGCAACAGCATAAGTTTTAATATTATGGGTGGGTTTATATGAAGGAAACAAAGGGGGAACCTGATATGAACTTTAGAGAACATATACTTCCAAAAAAATAAATGTGTTAAATCTGATTTTTATATTCTTAAAATATCTGTACACAGGTTTTCATGTGAGATCGCTATTCTGTAAAAAATCCACCTCAACCCTTTTGTTACAATAGCTATATTTACCCTATTTTCTCAGCTTTTTCATTGCACAGTATATTCAGAGCTCTGTTTGATAATATAATGTAATATGATTTGATTGCAACACATTGCAATGTTTAATTTCTCACACAATACAAGAATCACTCTGTTATCTTTTCAATGAACTATACTCTACCATCAAAGAAAACAAACTTAAAAACAATAACTTAGCATCATCATCATGCAAAATACCCCTGGAAACCAACATTCAAATATCACAAAGACATTTTTTATTCACAAGCATTTTTGTTTCAGCCTTTGAAGAATTTCTATTAGCTTTATATGTAACTGTATTGTGAAAAGGAGGTGAATATTACATTGAAATTAACAATTTTTTTCTGATGAAGATTACACCAAGTTTAAGATGAAAATCTATTTTTTAGTTACACTCTCCAGTACCATTGTATTTTGAAACACAGTAGTTTTCTCCCTTCCCTCCTTTCTACATACAATATCAACCTACCAAAGCTTAGCTGGCTGTAGGATTAATTTTGGAAAATTAACCACTCATCATAAAGCATTCCAATCATGCTGAACTTCTGGTGAAGACTGGCCAGTATTTTCATTTTACTCAACAAGTTTGGACAAAAGAAATGTTAAAAGCAGACATTGTGGTGCTAGTAATGTATATTGGGGAGAACGTTTTCCTTTGTATGTTTCTTTTTGGTTTTTAAACAACTGTTCATGTAAAAGAATATAGATCTTCAAGATATCCAAAGCTTAAAAGAAATTAAAATCATATACCTAAGCTATTGTTAGGGGAGCCCTTTTACATGAAGTCATCAAGATTACAACAACAAACAAATGAATAAACAAAAGGTTTTAGCTTTCCCCAGCGGGGCAGGTACAGAAATCTGTTGGGATGGCGTAGATGATGCAGCATTCACACACGGTTAAGGATCTGACACTCCAACATGCAGGCATCGTGGTGCCTCGATGAGTCTCGCAACGCGTGATAACCAGACACGAGCACGGCTGTTCTGCTGCTGTCGCACGAGCTGACCCTTTCAACAATGAAACTGAGGCTATCGTTTTGGCCAGGTCTTGATTAAGTTATGCAGGTTTTGGTTTAGCAAGGTCATAACTGGCAGTGTCTGCTGCCAGATAAGAGCCAAAGCAGGACCAACTGAATTGCTACCATAGACCACAGTGATGGACTCAGACCAGAGGCCCCACCGCAGTCAGCCGAATCTTCCTGTCGACAAGAAGAGAAGAAATCATTTAATATTAACTACAGGGAAGCTGCTTGGGAAGTAATCTACAGCTTAGTTTTCAACATTTTAAACTATCATTGAGGCATCCTTTTTGGTCTTATATGTTATTTTGCTAAAATAACAATAAAATAATTCCTGGAAGTTCCTCTGAGTTTTGATACAAAGAGTGCCAATATTACTTCAACTATAAACTTGGGAGGATTAAATACTGTCAAGGTTTACAGCACAAACTTATAACCTAGATGGGATACTTACACCATAAATCAAGAAATGCCATGGAATATACCTGGGGGCCTCAGTAAACATCATCTATATTCCTTAAAATTGCATTCATTTTAATATTCTGAGTATGAATTTATTGTGAGAAAATACAGAAGAACAGGTAACTTCAAGTTTAGAAAACAAATGCCAAAATATGTTTATGTCCATTTCATCAAATGATCACACAATAAAATGAATATGGTCTGCAGGTGAAGATATGATCAAAGAGAATGAAAATCCTTTCTCCGCCTCTGGTGCTCTACTCAAGTATGAGAAGGAAATTTTCTATTGCACTACTTGATGTAGTTTCAAGCTATCTCTGGGCTGCACTGCTGTCATGCAGCAGTAACTATTCCTTATGTCACACAGCAATCACACCACTTTTGCCCATGCCTCTCCACCATTAGTTGCTGATCTTTGGTCCTACTTTGCTTACAAGTTTTAATACCTTTCACATGATGGACCTGTTCAATAGTCTGGCTGAAATACATTTGATACCTGTTCTGGAGCCTGTAGCACCTTAAACCTTGTTTCTCAAGACTGATACAAACTCTGATTAGTACCTAAAACACCAGGAAAATTTTCCCCTCTCCACTTTGTCTGAGAAGTCTGAGATTCATGGGTAGCTCTGACGGCTGAAAATATTTGGTTTTTCTCTTGTTTTCACAGTATTCTGTACCCATGGTATAAAAAGACACTTTCCATTTTCCAAAAGATTCCAAACCTCCAAGGGCAAGCAAACAGTGTAGGTGGAAAGGAATTTAGGTATATTAGCAACTGGGGAAACTTCTTGAACCGGAGCAATATGTACAGGGAAGGACAGACAACTGAATCTGAATAGTAACAGAGACTGGCTGCTGGCACAGAAATTACAAAAAAAAACATATACAACAGAAAGCAGAGGAAAGCCAACAGGCAGGGAAAAGCTCCTGGTTCAGACTTACACACCACTGAAGCATATGCAATTAATATATCCCAGAAAAGGCTGGGGTGTGTGGATGTGTGTGTGGCTGTGTCTGTGTGTCTATAAAATGTACAATCAGGACAAATAAGAAAGAGTCATTAAGCAACCTTTAATTTATTAGCAAATTTCCTTAAACAAATTTTGCTTTCCTTAAGCAAAAGTTCCCAGCTTTGTAAGAACAGCAGTGCAGGACATCAAGTCTACTCAAATGGGCAAGAAGAAAGTACAAAAAAATGGTAGATCAGATATAAACAGGAAATGAGGGATGGGAAGGGGGATAAAGTGTTTTTTAGTAACCTCCTTGCAGAATACATTGAAATGATAATAGGAATTTTTGACTAAATTAAATGCACAAAGTCAAATATGATGTTAGGGCAACTCCTTTGTAACAGAGGTGTAAAGACAGAATTTGGAAATTACAGGGCCTTGAATGAGTTCTTTATACCAGCTTTAGTGGGTGAGAATTTTAATGCTATTTATTCTGCACACAATACATTCTTTAAAGCTGGTAGGTTTCCAAAACAGTTTGGGAAAAATATGGAAAATCAGATAAAGCAGACTCAGTACATTATCAGGAATTATAGCATCCACCAAGAGTCTCCATTAGAAACTTGGATGCAAAAAACCCCAACAATCCCAAGCTCAAAAAACCCCAAAAATCAGCATTCAATTTCCTTAGAAAGAAGTAAAAATTCATTTTGTCCTAAAGCAAATACCTCATGTTGGCTGCCATTCTGTATTAACAGTAGCTTTTTCCAGACATATCTCTGTCATGTGTTAGCTTTATAATTTAGTTGTATAGTTTTGGCTTAGGCTTTTTTTTTGTTTGTTTGTTTTGTTGTAATTGGTTTGGTTTAGTTTTTAGTTTTGCTTCTTTTTGGTTGATTACACTCTACAAGTTCAAAATTCCTAAGGTTTCTGGTCAACAAGAAGTCCTAAGCGAATTCTGCTGCACAAGTTTTGGACTAGGATGCTAAGATTTCAAGATGCACTGAACATTCTGGTTTATTTAGTTTGGCTCTGTCACTATTTGCATCTGCATTGTGTCTTCTCATGCGGCTTTATTTCTATTTAAAGCACTTAAAAATAACCCTGTTGCTTCTTCCACACAGTGACTACCATTAAAAACAGAATTATCAGTAAAGGTTTCCTCTCACATGAATTCAGTGAATGGTACACAGTGTTACCTCTTGGTATTCATTATTCTTATCACTGAAATTACTTAGAAGAGTCATCTTTGAAGAAAGAGTTGAAAGCAAAGCAGGAGATTTTAAATTTCCAACAGACAGGAGATGTCTGGAGAGTATAAGTAGTAAACTGAAGGTCTTAAACAAAATTGTGCATAACATGAAGAGAAAATACCTTTATAGTAAAAATGGCATTCAGTATAAATAGAAAGCAAGTAGGCCTCCACATATAGTTATACAGACTCAGCTTACATCATCTTGCATTAGACCAAATATTGCAAATTATGTTGATAAATTAATCGTACCACCATAACTTTTTGAAAACACCCTCCATTCTGTTGTCCATTTCTATTTGCTCTATGAGATTTTTTTAACCACACCACAATTTCTCAACCGCTCTTACATTCATCAGTCATACAATGTAATATTCCTGTTGGGTTGAAATGAAGTATTTTAGTATCTTTTTCCCTCTCCCTAAGACTACACAGAGAAGTTTTTAAAGGATTCACAATTCACAATAGTAGAGAATATCTTGGAAGCCTCATGCAGGACACGCATCATCTTATTATGAACGACAGCATTAAACTGCCCTACACAAACGTATACAACGTTTACACACATATTTCAAGCTTAGTGAGATTTTAACCTCATATTGATCAAAGCCACATCAAATTTTTGAGGTTTGTAGACCAATTTGCAGTGGTAAACCAGCAGTCCTGCCAAGAACAATTTCTAAATATTGTCTCTGGAATCAGTTAATTCTTCTGTGTCCGAAGCTAAAACAAAAATAGTACTGGCAAAGAAGGTACAGTAAATCCTATCTAAATTAATTTTTTTCCCCACATAATTTCACACTGTAATTTTCTTCTGTGCTCTAACTGTTGTCAAAACTACAGGAAATGTGAAAATATAAAATAAGAAAAAAAGAGGGGAAAATCTGATTGCATTTATTTACATAAATTAAAACAATCAACAGCCCCATTGAAATAAGTGGGATTCCATCCCCAATTTAAAACCAGACTGAGAAGAATGTCAGTTTTGAATGGTCTTAAAAATGTCTTTTTTACAAACACTTCCCCTTTTCTTGAGCTTTAAGAAAACTTTTCAGCTGTTTCATGTTAATGTTATTTTTGAGATTTCTTCTAAAATATCTTATAACAAAGATATACAGCATTGTTTTATCTTCTCTTTACATTATCTTATCTTTACCTCTTCTAGTGCAATTAGACACTGAACTATTTTTAAGCAGTTTCACTGAAATTTTCCAGCCCATGACATTAATCACACAAATCCTGAATAACAAATCAGCTGGGGATGTCCTCTCTTTGTTGTCTTCAAAATTATGTCTGTGTATAAATTCTCTTTGAAGAAAGAGAGACTTGTAAAAGAAATTGGAAAGAATTGTTGTAGGCTGCTTTCATTTCACCAGAAGTGTATGAGAAATTTCTTGCATTCATTACATCAAATTTTCTTGAATGCTTGAGGTAGAGAAGTGTCAAATCCAAATGTCATCTTCTCCATGTCATGCCTTACTAGGACAACTCTAGGTAAGGCTGTTCTACAGCATCACATGCTATGAAAATTATTTAGCACTTTCAGAATGGAAATGAATGCTTTTATAAAACCCTACCTTCATTTTTAAGTATCAAAACAACAATCTCATTGCTACATATCAGCATTTCCTTGAAGACACTGCCAGTCCAAAGTTTTAAAAATACACTTGGAATTATAAATACATATATACACATATACACTAAGGCTATAAACACACTTGTTACTCCTCTAGAAGGGCAGTATAACTATTTAATGTATCAAAACTTTGTTTTTAAATGATAATAATTCATCAGCACTCACTGTGCTACTCTGACTTACAAAAGGGTAAAAACAACATCTGCCCAAAGAGCTTCTGATGTGGCCTTTCATACCAATGGATTACCTCAGTTGTACCTTTTATAATATGTATCTTAAATGTTTCATATTACATTGTGAACACCTTTCTTCTACTCAAGAATAATTTCCAGTTTCAATGAATGGTCATTCACAAATTTTGGGTTACCCTCCTTTGTCTGGACTACCAGACAAAGCTGTCAAAGGGGTACAGCTCCCCATGCACAGACTGGGGACACAAGCAATTCCATTGGGACGTATCCAGTTGCCAGGACCACTAATCACCCTCAAAGCTCCCACTGACGTACCTGGAGGCTGATGGAAGTAAGACATTCTCAGTGGGGGCTAAAAACTTGTACATTTATTTTCCTTACTCTCAGGCATGGCAAACAAAACCATTGTGCATGTACAAAGAGCAAGTAATTTGAGGCAGTGATAATGACTATTTTGTTATCCTTGATGAAAAGTAAAAAAAAAACCTGTCAGGTTAGTGAACCTGATCAGCTGGATTGTATCTGTGTTGGCTTCAGTGATTTTAATATAACTACACAGATTAATGTCCAGAGAGAACCCATTTCCAAAAGCACAAAGTTATTAAAAACAAGATGGATGAACAAAATTACCTTTATAACTTTCTGCTGCCAAAAGCTTATCAGCTAAAATTATATTCTGGGTATTTCCCACCTTAAGTAGAAAGCACATTTTGGGCATAAAGAATTCAGTTCAAGGTGAGTCTCTGCTGCTTTATGCACACTGGACAGTAGGTTTTTTTAATTAAAGAAAGCTATGTGCAGAGCAAATTGCATGAGCAAGAACATGAGATGCTAATCTAGATTTTAATGTGAAATACTACTGGCTTAAAGAAAGGTCTTTCACCTTTCCCTACAAACTCTTGTCATGGCTGTGCAAATTCCTAGGTTTGCAAGAAACTACATCATTTAAATACAGAATAAGAAACTTCAAAATTACTCAAAAACTAAACTGTTAAACAGAATTTAAAGGTTTTTTTATTTATGTTCAAAATATATTAATTTAAACTTTCCTTAAGTATAGACAAAAATATAAATTACAGTGAAAATGACTGTTCTAAATTTCAGTTGATTTCAATATTTCATTAATTTTGAATATTTCATTACACTAACTCTGAAAAATGCCCTGTAAGCTTTCGGTTCTGCCTCACTTTGCTTTACTTTGATAGATATGTGAGTATCTCCCTCTAGTGGTTTTCAGAACAATGTTGATCAGAACCCCCTTCAGACACACGTTTTTTGCTCTCTAGCACAGCAGTTCTCTTGCAGACAGGTCACTTGCACAGTAACTCATGATGCAGTCCCACACCATCAAATGAAACACAGCCTAATTGCCAAGGCTTTAGTTGGAAACCCCAGAGTCTGCACTTGGTCAATATACAGGAATTTACATAGTTAATTAGAAGCAAAAACTCACCTTCTGCTGTAATCAGGCAATTTATGTGTTTAGGTCACCAAAAAATAAGTAAAGAAGTACTATTTTACTGAATTCCTAGATTAACCAAAGTGATGCACCCCATTATCTTCCATCATTAACTGTTGTGTTCATTTGAATGCACTGGAAACTCCTTACTCTTCTCAAAAGCAACACTCACACGTAACACTCATCCTTTCCACCCCTAATTAAAGCTTTACTTTCACAGGTATGCTGTCTCTTCTATTTGCTTTGTATCTTTATTTTTATCTGTGAAAAAAAACTTTCTTCTTCTGTTCATTTTAACAAGGACAAGGGGCTGTCTCTTCTATTTGCTTTGTATCTTTATCTGTGAAAAAAAACTTTCTGTTCATTTTAACAAGGACAAGGGAAAAATGCTTAGAAGTGAAGGATGAGGACTCAGCTGGTACATGTGCAATCTCAGAGCCAACCATATCAATCCAACAGGTTCCCTTGTCTTTGCATGTTCTATGGGAGAGGCCCTTGTGTTTAGTAATTGTGATTTATAAGGCTCCAGACAGGTTTTTTTTCCATATTTAATTTCCCTTAATATTGCAACAGTAATTTACTCCAGATTGTTGCTTTTGGGACTCACTTCATTCTGTTTTCTTTTGCATGTTCAGTAAGTAAAAAAGTCTGCTAATTTTTTAAGCCAAGAACAAAACAAAAAATTAGAGAAAGTAACTGACCATCCACACCACATGAAAACTTGCAGAAAAATGAAGATAGGAGCGGACATCATGGCAGAGGCACGACTCGTTGTGCATATAGGCTGATCCTATTAATAACGGGCAAAGTAGCAAGTAGAGGAAAGGAAAGAAAACACAGAAAAAAAGACATACAAGATGAGATATCATGCAGATTGCCGGCAGTTAGCAGAGTTAATGTGAAAGCATCCACCCAAGAGCAAGAGATTCACAGCAAATTTTGCAAATAAACTTAATCAAAACAATCGACTGTTACAAAGCACATGACTTACACACTGATCAGCACATCAAGCTAGTGAGCAAGAGTTGTACTTTCACACACAATCATATCAGGATCATTGGGACTATTTACAATGGCTGGGTGGCTTTTGGATGGGTTTTCAACTTTATTCAATATTTGTCGGCCAGAAAGAAGACTTCCTTTTTAAAATAAAATTCGGTTACTAGAAAAATGCTGTGAATACCAGTTCTCTAAATTTTTGAGTACTACTGACATCTCAGTAATTGTGCCTCATTACAAGAAAATCAGAGAACATACTAGAACAAATTTTGGTATACAGCAGTTATAGACAACTAAGTGCACTGGTTTGGGACAATCTTTCCACTGCAGAAACTGAGGAATTGCATGAGGCATTGAAAATGCATTTTTTTCAATTACTTATTGTATCTAATGCCAGGCACTTCCTTGTTCAGTACTATTTGTCTTGAGATTTATTCTGAACAACTTGAATTCAGCACAATCTCTTTTGTATCTTTGAAAGGTAACATAGAAATAATATTAAAAATGGTTTAGATATGTGGCACAGTTATAATTTTTCTATTTCAAAACTAATGCATTCAACACAGAAGTACCAAACCAGCATAGTTTCGGTGATTTCAGTAAAGCAATGCACTTTTAAACCTGCTGAGAACATGACCTAAAGGCAGTACAATTTGCAGAATTAGAAAAAACATCCCAAAACATATATAAAATTTTAATAATTTAACAAAACTTTAAATAATGTTTGGAAACATTATTATAAAAATACTACTTCTAAGCCAAGATTATTGTGTACTTGTGCAAGCCATTGAAGAACTGAATTTCATAGCACCATACAGAGACCAACAGCTTTATGCTCACGGATGATTTTTTAGTGGGAATCATGTGTGAAAGTGCAATGGTTATAGGACAGGCAGATAAGAAAGCAGCTGTTAAGTTTATGTTAATTGAAATAAAGTGGCTATGGTCTAGAGTGAACAGTATGTTTGGTGATAAAAAGGTTACCAGGCACCACGGTACATTTAAACAGTTTTCACTGATTGTCTAAAGCTGCTCTACAATTGTTTTTAAAGGTAGTCTTAAAGTCTTACAACTTCAATTTTACCTGTTTGGCTTCATCAAAACAGATTTCGGGACCCTTTCTGTATCTAGGTTGTTTGACCATTTCACATGGATTTGGCCCTTCATCTGTTTCTCTGGTTAAGGAGTGTCACTGTTTTTCACGCATTATACATGAGCAGGATCAACATTCTGTTTTTATTTTTATGGCAGGAGAGAAGATTTACACTAATTCAGATAGTGCTGAAATAAACATCAATATTCACAGTTCCTTGTTTAAATTCAAGAAACCCAACCCAAACATTTAGATAAATCAAAATTAAATACCTTTTATTTTATACTGCTATAATCAGGAAAATTATCATCCTGCACAACTTCTTAGAATATTTGCAGAACCATAAACAGAAATAAAATAAAAGCTGAGTTATTTTAACATTTTCCGTATTGCTTTTTTTTTACCATTGCAGAAATATCCCAGAAAATATTTCATAAAACATTTTCTGTATTGCTTTTTTTTTTTACCATTGCATCCCAGAAAATATTTCATAAACCAGTAAACTTTCAATGGTGCTGATTAGTTTATGTTACCACTGAATTACTCTGCTATAACAAAGACATAGAGTAAAAACAATGAAACCTTTTTTGAAAAGTAATGTCATATACAGGTTGAACATAGCAGTGAAAACCTGTAAAAACTACTGATTCTATTATGGGTACACTTATATTACCCCAAATATCATAGAAAATATTGTGCCACTGTAGGCTTTGTAGAAAATGACAGGAGAACTACTGAGATCCCATCAGCATTTCAGTGATGAAGGCAGACAACAAGGCAGAGAAAACACTGTCCATACTACCAGCAGAACAGCAGGCGAGAAAGGTAACTAATAGCAGTGACATGCTATTAATTAGCTAACTGAATATATGCTTTAGCTCACATCTCTGAAATCTTTAATTGCTGGTGTTAAAGTGTTCTTCACACTGTACTTCACATGTGCCACTGGCTAATGAGGGGCACAAGTCATTGCAGCAGACTTGAAAGGCATGGATATGGAAAAACTGCCTTCTGGTGAAACCTGCTTATATTACCATTCAGTATTCTAAGCTTTTTTTTTTATTCCACTCCAGGTAGTACACATATTAAATCTATTAAAAGAATAGAGTGCCAGAACCTATCTTAGTAGCTCTAATTTACACTTGAAGCCATCCTGTTCATGCACTACCATGGAGTAGTCCAGCAGCTTCAGTGCAACAAGTGGAGAGGCCAAAGCAAAGAGAAGGCAAGATGATGGGGAATTTATTTCTGCAGATCCACATCTGCCTTCATTCGAAAGTTATCAGACTCATCTCCCCTTTTCTCAGCTGTGGCTCAACTGAAAGGGAAGTTGAAACACAAAAATGTTCCAAGAGGCTGCATAAGCAAAGCTGTACCAGTCAAAAGGAAGCAAAGTGCAATAATAATCATCTAAATAGCACCCAAAGGTCATTTTGTCTGCTTGGGTGATGTTATGCTACATCTGCATTTCACTATGTACCTTAGTTACAGAAAAGAGTTGAATAGCTTAGTACTGCATAGTTGAACAAAAATAAAATAGTTCCTTTAGTCAATATAAGCCCCCCCAAACTGTTCTGACTGCCATTTTAGGTAATTTACTTCTTTCTAGTAGTTTTGGGCACCACAGGGAAATCCAAGTGCCCTTTCCCATCCATCATGCTTCATTTTCTATAGTGAGTGCTATCCATAAATTCAGACAGTGGAAACAGTTCATCAAACTGTCATGGACTGAAGCCAATTAGAATATTAGGCTAAGTTTACATAGTTCTGTGATGACACCCCAATGTAACTTCCTTTTCAGCCCAAGCGTAGATGGAATTCCAGTTTTATTAATGTGGCAATGAATGCATTGCTTGTGCCAAAGAAACACAGTCATCTGTATCACCATCTGCTTTTCTTTCAGGAGTGGGAGAGGCTGTCTCAACTAACTTCCTGATGTGGACGGAGGTATTACTAATTGTTTTCCTTGTTCTGTCACAGTAATCCAAATTATGGTTTGATTTACCACTTCTGGCATGCTGTCCTCAAGCCTACATAGAAGAGAATGGCTGAGGTGAATTTCTCCTGACCTAGAATATGTATATTGGTTTTATGTATTTCCATCACCATCACCTACAGGTATCTACTGCAGTGAGCAACCTAAAACAGAGAGATTGGCATGAAAGTGGTTGCAAATTAAAACAGTCTTTCACATATGCTTTTAACTTCAATGCTTGTGTCGCAAGAACTCTGCCTAGCACGTAAGCCACCTATGTCTCCAGCCAGCTCTGAAGAAATTCTATGCAGCTGGATGAACTCTAGTCTTTGATGGCTGATGCAGTTACCACAAGAAGCAAGCTCGTCTTTGACACTGGCACACTAAAGTGCCTTCATCAACTAACCAGCATGCAGCATCTCAACTTTTCATGACCCAACATTTTATTCTGGCCTTTTTATTTGTTATTTCTCTAGACTGACATACCCTTGTCTTTTCTAAAGGTTGAACAAACCCAGGACACTCAGGCTTTCCTTGCTTGTGCTCTCAGATGCCAACCTCCTCGGTGGCCCTACACTAGACTCCCTCCTGTATGCCAGTGTGGTCCTGGGAAGCACACAGAACTCCAGATGCAGTCTCACCAGTGCTGAAGAGTTGGGATGGATCAGTTCTCCCAGTCTGCTGACTGCACTCTTGCTGTCATAGCCCGGGATGTTACCAGCCCACTCCTCTGCAAGACGCAGTGCCAAGTCATGGTCAACTTCATGCCCACCATGAACCTCCAGCTTTTTCCTGCAAATATTTCTGTCACTCTGTCCCTAGCCTGTCCAGCTGAGCAATCATTCTGTCCTGGGCCCAAGATTTTGTATTTGCTTTTTTAAAACTTCATTAAATTGCTGTGAGCCCATTTCTGTCTAAATTCTCACAAATAACAGCTTTGCTCTCTACCTCAATGACTGTTCCTTCACATGATTTGTGATAACACCCACAAATACCTGCTACTTCAAGTATTCCAGTGGCAACCACAGTAATAATATAGGTAAGTGGGCCATTTCTCCCCAAATAGATTCCAGTATCCCATAGCCAAAAATCAATCCACAACACTAAATAACATGATTTTTAAAGGATACCCGGCTTCTCTGCTTGCATCAGTGGCTTTGGGTCACAGGAACGGCACAGCAGTTGGCTGTCACTAATAATGAACACTAGATTGGTGTTTGAAATCTTCTCTGCATGATAAAGTCTGGAAAAAAGTCAACAAAAAACTATGTTTAAATGAAGTAAGGAAAATTGTATTTGAGACGGACACACAGCGTTGGAATAAAATAATCCAGCTTCACAGATTTCGTCTGCTTGCTACTGTTTATCTTTTTTATTAACAAACAGTAAGAAAGATTTATAATAAATTTTGTAATCTTTTTGACATTTCCATCGTATCCTTTTTCAACTAGACTTGTTAGTGGAAAAAATGGAAAAGAGCACAAAATGACTTTAATTGAGTTAATAGTTAGCAATGTACTGCTAGCAGAGTAGCTGTACTGAGAAATAACATCAGTTCAGCATCAATTAACACAAAAAAAAAAAACCCCAACCACAAATATAAACAAACAAAACCCCAAAACATAAACCTGTCTGTAAGAAGGGTGAGAGAGAAGCATGGAGTATGCATGTCATGTATTGGATGTGTATTTGTCGTATTTTTATGTCCATATAATTCTGCAAAAGGTATTTAAGATAGTAAGGTCTTTTTCAGTTTATAAATAAACCCAATGCATACTAGCATCATGGAGGAGGAAGTACAGAAGTTTAAAAAATGTCTGCCTGTTTTGGCTGTCTTCACCATTCTCCAAAGCTCTCTTTCTTTCTCTCCTGGCTTGAAATATTATCTTTTTTTGTTTGAAATCTGGCTATTAATTCTAATTTCTAAGATGCTTTCAGAAGCTCAAAATGTATGAAAAACCCCAACAGGTTCTTGTATGAAAAGAAAATCTGGGTCCAAGATGCTATGTTTCTGAAGTATACAATTTTTTCACATATTATTAAATATCATCTTCAAGTAGCCTCCTTATGGTGTCTGGAGAGTAATTTTTTAATAAAAAAAAATATAATACCTTTGTTTGCTTCATAAGACTCACAGCTGTTAAATCCTGAACACTATCAACTAGAAGATAAATTAGAAGATAAATTGCATAATTTTCTTGACTGTCAAAAATTCTGATATATAACCAGATTAGAGAAGATCGTATCACTTGGGATAGTGCAGAATGCTTTTAAGTTGACATAATGAATTAAAAGAAAACAAACTGGGACAAAGATAAAAATACAATTTTCATGGAGCACAGACTATAAAACAAAAAACTGACTGAAGCATTTCTATAATTCTTTAAAATTAAAATTAATTCTATACAAAAAGAGAATGTAATTTGCCTGCCTCTATTCTTTGTCCTGCTTATGTAAGTTTGGTGAAGTTTATCCAAAATATATTATTGCTTCTTATAATAGTGTCCCTATATTTTGCAAACTAAATAAAATCCCAAAGTTATTACTTATAATGAAGAAATTTTACCTGGAGCAGTTTATACAGTCTACAATCCCACCAAAGGATTTATCATTGTTTTCAAAGAAATATTGAGTTTGCTCAGTGATACAGCTTGTTTTAGGCAGGGCAGCACCGAAATCATCATCTTCCATATCAGCTGATATAAAATAAATAAATAAATGAATAAACAAACAAACAAATGACATTTTTAAGTCACAGACATAATGAGGAGACCATAGTATGTCCCCTGGCCTAGATTCTTATCTTTCACTTCACTCAAGGATGACTCTTTAGCATCCTTTTGACTTACCTGCTTCAAGGAACCGTGGAAAAGTCAAGCTCAAAAACAGCTGCTGTAAGATAGACCTGAACACAGAAAGACAAATATATTTATGTTCAAAGGCACTTTTTCTTTTTTTTTTTCTTTTAATGGATACTTAAAAACTACTCAAATATAAGTTATTAACAATATTTTTTCATGCCTTTTTCAGTTATCAAAGCTGTGTTTCTTTAAACCTTCCAGTGTGACTCTGGTTTTCTTTTCCCACATTTTCACAGTCTTTCACACTAATCTTTTATTCTACTGTTCAGATTTGCTGTAATATGCGCCCACAAGTCACATAATGGAAACATTATCACACCATCCCTGCCCCCCTTTTATACATCTGTTGGAGGTAGAAGAGGCATGTTGGTGTTTCCCACAACTTAAACCAACTGGAACTCCTTTTTAACACACCCAGGGAACACGCTCCTGAATTAGATACTTTATACTCATTAAGGTTCATTAAATGTCTGAGAAGGAGATCAACACTGGAATACTATATTTTAAAAAAGCATTACTGTAACAGTTGACTTTTAAAATCATCTCTGTTCTCGCTCATGAGCCATGGACTACATTTTCTTCCTATATATGCTGCCAAAATACTTAAGCTTAAACAGCTCCATTTAATTTTTTTTCTTCACTTATGATGGCATTTTTTCCAATTTTATTTATTTAAAGTAATTTAGTACCAGCTTGCCACACACACAGACCCTTTCTCCTCTACCAGCCTGTCAAAACAGGAAGTGCGACAGGTATATTCTCTGACTCCCTGCTTCTCCTTAACCTTCCTAAGCTGTATTTTCCAGCTGTCAAGTTTTAGGCTTGCTTTTACCCACAAATATGACCGAATCTCATCTTATTCTGTTCTAATATTTGTTCTGCAGAGAGAAGAGACTGCGTAACTTCTTTCAACCTGAAAGCTTTTTTCTCTTTTTCTAGTGAGATTCCTGTGTAAAGAAGCTGAATACGCCCATCACCTTCCCCAAGGAGGCATTCCCTGAAGGAGTTCTGGATTCACATCCACGACTCCGTGCTTTGAATCATCAGAGGGACAGCAGAGAGCAGTTATGGCTCAGAAGAAACCTGATTCTATTCGATGGTGATGCAATTTGCTGACAGAAAATAATAATCCTTTGTAATGGCTTACCTCAGAATTTACAGGGAACTGAACAAAAAAGGCAGCCTGGGAAAACTCCAAAATCTCCTGACTTAAAGGAACATGAAGGAGAAAGGACATGCACTCTCTTAAGCAAATGCTGATGTATGCCATATAAATTTTGAAAATGATAGCTCACACCTTTATTCCACATTTTTTGCCTGAAACATTATAGCTTTCTTTAATAACCTGGTTTCTCTTATTTCCCTGTACTTGCTTTTGCTAGGTGCCTCACTGAATCCATTTTTTGGTCATCTCTTTTCACTTTGCTTGCTTAATGGCCTTCTCTGCCTGCTTCTGACCTAGATTCCATTAAAAACATGGCCATAGTAAAGTACTTTAATGTTGTGCTTTCAAGTTAAACATCACACAAAATAAACCTCAGGTCTAAATTGAGACCAGACCACTGAGTCTGATTTGAACACTGATAAACTGAAGTTTCTCTGTGTAAAAGAACTCAAGTTTCTCTTCTGGATTATTGCCCATCTCCAATTTTTGAATCTTGCTGTTGTCCAAGAAAACCAAGATTATTTCTCTTCCTCTTCACTAAATGTAACCAACAATAAAAAACAACATACTGTCTTCAAAGTGCTTCTGTGAGAAAATTACTATGGGGTTTTTCAGCAGCTACATATTTTAGTAAAGGAGGCAATTTATTGCAGTTTGGTAATTATTATTAGGAAAAAAAAAATATAACGAATCTTTAGAAAACGACCAGTCTCCAAGGGTACAATTCACACCACAGCAAAAGCACCACATCAATGCCAATTACTTATCCCCATAAGGAAGGTGCTGAGGGAAGTAGCTGATACGAGTGTCAATCAACATGGCTCTGAAAAAGGTAAAATACCCCACCTGAGCACTGTGTCAGCTCTGCAGTCCTCAGCACAGAAAAACATGGGCCTGTAAGTGACTGCAGAAGGCCACACAAATGATCAGAGGAATGGAGTACTTTTGCTATAAGGAAAGGCTGAGAGAGCTGGGGTTCAGTCTGAATAAAAGAAGGCTCTCAGGAGAGCTTATTGTGGCCTTTCAGTATTTAAAGGGGGCTTTTAAGAGATGAAGACAAACTATAGCAGGACCTGTTCCAGTAGGATGAGGGACGATGGTTTTAAATTAAAAGAAGAGGAAAGATTCAGACTAGATACAAGGAAGATATTTTTTACAATGAGGATGGTGAAACACTGGCACAGGTTGCATATAGAGGTGGAGATGTCTCATCCCTGGCAACATTCAAGGTCAGGTGGGATGGGGCTCTGAGCAACCTGATCTGGTGGAAGATGGGCCTGCTCATTGCATGGAAAGTTGGACTGGATGACCATTAAAGACCCTTTCCAACCCAAATGATTCTATGATTCATGTGTTTTGTAAAATGATTTACTGAAAAGCAAACACTGATGTTCTTAGGGCTTCTTACTAGAAAAAGGCAAGGATGATATTCTGAAATAGGAAACCAAGTGATCAATAATTCAAAATGCGATAATTTAGACTTCACAATTGCCCATCATACCTAGACCATTAATCCAAACCCTGTTTCCTGATGCTGATTTTGTAGTGAGAACACACAATCACAAAACCTGTCAAGAGCAGTTTTTAGTCGAACTGTTGACAAAACAGTCATGTTTGAGAAATAGCTAAGAATTTTCATTATGAGAAACTACAGAAACGAAAGGTCCAGAGAACTTTTATGGAGGAAAAAAATCCAAGTCAAATAAAGTTTCAGCCCACTGAATAATTAGAGTTTGGACAGAGATTTCCACACTCATACTTACCAGGCTGCTGCTGAAGCCCACCATCCAAGCTGCAAAATATCTGTTATTGTAGGCTGGGGAAAATAAAAAACCAAGAGGTTATGTTATTTGTATAAACACGTGCAGGCTTTCAGTGGATTGTCAGCCACTGCACATGGGACTACTGACCACATAAGCAGAACGAAGTCCAGCTCCTTGCTTTGGTTCTTCTTCGGGATCACAGACTGACTGATAGTCGTAAGACTTGTTAAAGGCATACAGGGACATGTTAATCAGGTTTCGCATCAGGCCAGGATCAATTTCACCAAAGAATCTTCCAATCTGATGGGGGGCAATACAGAGAGATAAGGTAAAACACTTCTAATTATTTTTCTCATAACAAAGTGCACAGATCTAAATTTCCCATTTAGACAGTAACTGTTAAATGTAGCACCAATAAGACCCTGCCTGGGGAAGAGCAAGAAGAATATGAGAAAGAAGGTGTGTGGATAATATACTTTTGGCCTCACCCTCTTAAGTCCATTGGCAGCCTACCAGCCTAATGGCAAAGCACAAAAAATGAAACTTGGTAGCAAGTTTGGCATCTTCATCTATAAAGAAAACTGTAAAAAACACTAACAAACCCCCTAGAATTTCTGATCCGGCAGTATTTTTGTGATTCAGAAATCTTTAGAGTAAATTGAGAATTAAATTCTTTTCTTTTATCTCTTTAAACTTCTTCCTATTGGTTTTCATGTTCTGTTCTTAAAGAATATACATACCTGTTGTGTATATTCATCTCGATTGGACATCAAAAGAAATCCACCATCATCAAGGATAACACAGTCCACATGCTATTGTAAGAAAGTGAAATATGTTTACAGGAAAGATTTGTCAATAGAACACTCTGTAAGAAGCTACTTTTTTTTTTTTTCCAAGACATCAGAGTATCTTCAAATCACAAACCAATAGCCAAGGGCGAATTTTAAGTTATAATAATTAGCATTATCAGTATAATAAAAGTTTGAACAGATCAAAGGCTTATTTGTGGCTTAATTTCATAAAAGTTGTTTTGCAAATTCTTATTTGCTCAATACTTTGTTAGTTCCAAGAGTGCTATATCCTTATTAAATCTGATTATAACTGGAACTCAGTTCATAATAAGGGGCTACAACTTCTCATGTGCTTCAGCCATATTAAAAGTACTTTTCCATTTGCAGCTATCAATGGTAAAAATCTTAAGGGCAGGCTCCCAGCTTGCTAGGTGTGATTATTTTCACTCGTCAAGGACTGTATTGGGATTATTCCAGGTGTCAGGTGCAGGAATGGGAAACCCACTGATATGATTCCATATGCTTTGCACTTTGTAAAAGATTCTTGCAGCCAGAGATTGGAGAGATAGCAGTGAGGTCAAACAGATAACTCCCCACAGTACACTTTCTGCTGTAATTCTTGCATTTAATGATCTTCACATTCCTCAAAAGAACTCAGAAGACCTGAGCACAGAAAAGCTTTTAAGCACATAGCAGAACCTGATATGGTGACAGTCCCTGGATCTGGGCTCTTCTGAGTGCCAGCAGAGCTATGGGGTCCCCTGACCCTGAATGTGCTGGGAACCAATGGCTGTGGAAAGGCACATTATGGGCTTTGTTTTCTGAGTTACTCTTTTTTTCCCTCAGAATTTGTCTCTTGTTTTGCAAATTACTGTTATATTTTTAATCACATTTTTCTTGAAATCATTCTCTGTTGCTTTTCCTGTATATTTTTGTTTACACTTGTTCTTATAACTCCATCACCATAACCACTTCACCTGATTTTATGCCCTCTTTCCCCCCTTCCCCTCCTAACCTTCATCTTTCTCAAGACACAAACAAATAAGTTCTGTTTTCTGTGGAATTACTACTCAAATAATAATGAGAGAATCTGTCTTAGATCTAGAGAACAGTGAATTTCAATACTCTGGCAGATATTCATAAACTGAACAATTTCTTACCATGCTATTTCTTTCACAGCCACAGATTTCACTGTTGCACTAAAAAAAACCCAGAAATATGGTAAACTTCATAAAAATGTTACAAAATGAACTGATTTTGAAGTTATATTAATCATTCAAGACAAGAAAAAATGATTCTATTTTCAATATCTGTATATAAACCTTAATTTTGAGTGTGTGTCATTTATCAGAAATACCTCTCTTAACAACCTGTATTCTGTAATTATCAATAGCACAATCTTGACTGCCCTTCTCAAATAATCTGATACCCTTTAACAGTATGCTCAATATACATAAATAGTTTGGAGTACTTGTCAGGATGTCAGTGATGTGAACATAAAGTAAACCAGAAAGAATAGGAGCGTTCCCATGTGTTTGGAGTTTGGAAAGAAAGCCTTCAAAAGTATCTTCTTTGACCAAGAAAAGCTTCAAAGCATGGGAACCTTGTGTGGTAAAGGAAGTCCATCAATCCAGCTGGCTTTTATGGCTTTGATTCCTAACAGGTTTTTTCATGTTCTTGCACTATGTGTACACATACACACACAGCTGTGTCCTTGCATTATGTCCTCAGCAAAACAACCACCAGGTGATGCAGGAGTCATCAAGATTCTTTCTGAAATATTCTGCTTTCCATCTTTCACTTATGCATTTTTGTCCTTAACTGTTCTGACACTTAGGCAATGCATTTGCCTCCCCACTGAACTGCAGCTCCACTACCCAAACCAGCCAGACTCTCTTATTGATTCCCTGAACATAAAACCAACCAAGCAACATTGCCTCACCCAGTAAGAAGCTTATGTTCTTTATTTTCTTCATTTTGTGCCCTTCCTTCCACAATTCACTATCAATTCCATATTTTCTTTTCATTTAACCTTTCCTCCTTCCCATTTACACCTCAGATGTATTACACATTTAGATGTATGGAATGAAATGGTTAAGCACATATTTCATTAAGTTCTGCTAAAATACTGTGATGTCGGTTGCAATACAAATCCTCACTGTTCAATGCTTACCCATCCTGGATATTAAATTAAAAAAGATTAACCAATTGTTTTACAGTTTTATTCACTGCTACTGCATAGTCTTAATACTAGCTAGAATATGTAATTTTTCTTTGTCTCTATCCATGTCTTATAATTATGAAAGCAAGACATGCACAAAATACGGCCTATTTCAACATAGATTTATTTTGTGCATTTGGATGATTTAAATACCACAACTACTTGGCAAATATGCATCAGTGTGACTCTGGCACAAAGAGACAGTAAACCTATTTGCATCTGAAGCTTTGAGAAATGCAAATAAAGTTCAAAAAAGACTTGGTCAATTGCTTACCAGGCTCTTGATTGTGGTTTTTGTGAAATTTTCCATCCAGCTGGTTGCATCAATTTTTATTCCAACAACTAACAAGAAATACATGAAAGTTTTTTTTAGTTAAATGAGGGGAAAAAAAAAGGTAACTGTATAATTCTAAAAAAGGGGGAGAAATTATAAAGACATCTAAATCACTGAACTGGAGAAGGATAAAATACGATTTTTGTTCAGTTTTCCGATCATCAACATCGTTCATGAGACTAATAAATTAAAAACTCTTACTCAAATGCAAACAGATTTCCACTAGCAAGATTAAAACTGTCTCAGAGAAAATAATGTTATTATAGAGTGAAGTTCCTTTGAAATCTCAATTAAATTTCCAATTCACTATTGAGCAACAACCAAATAAATGAAGTATTTCGAGCTTCAGTACCACTCTATCTTACCTGCTGGCTTCAGAAGTTTCCCATCAACTTGTATTTCCACAGCCTTGCTTACCATAATACCTGATTCATAGCTATTGGCACCACTTTCTGACAGTATAGAAGAGAAAAAAAAAAACCAAAAAAACAAAACAAAAACAAACAAACAAACAAACAAAAACAAAACAAAAAAACAGAAAAAGAAGTTAGGGTGACATGAGGGCCTCTTCCTCTGAAACTTAAATCTTATTATTCAAATAGCAGAATGATTTTAAAAAATCCTTGTGCAAAAGCACTGACCCAGGTACAGTACACATTTCTCTCCTATGATAGCTCAGGTCACTAACACTGGCATGACTAAGAAATATTTGTGCTTACTTTTCTTCTCTTTGTTCTTTTTTAATGCTTCATAAAGTTACTATAGCCTTTTCTACTGCAAACAGAGCCATGAATACTTGTACACACGTGAGCAGCTCTGTTAAAACCAGGATCAGAACCAAAGATTTTATCCTGAGGTCTGTGTATTTTTCAATGCAGGACATACTGACACCACTCACTAATGTACAATTTCTGCTCTGACAGACTTGAAACTGTTTTCAACACTGCTTAATATGAAAAGGCAAGTTAAAAGTAGATTCCCTGGAGCTGTTTGAGGAGCAGCAAAGGCTTTGGGGAATTTTATTAATTAACATCTTTACATTTTACTGAGAAAAATAAATAATTATGAAATAACAGTAGTGAAGGATCCCATATGTTTAAGACAGGAGTAAGAGTTTTGTGGTAGCATCTGTTTTTTGACAAACTTGAGAAGGTTAATATTGCTCACATCAATAAGGAGCACTTGCTATTGTGCTTGTATAGGTTTTAAATGTCACAATATCTCAGACCAACTGGTTTTGGTGAATAAGTGCAATTGTAAATAGAATTCAAAAGCAAAGTTTAAACTAAGTAGTGGTGCAGTAGTGGATGGAGTTATGGACATCGGACCCTTATGCCTGGTCCCCTAAATCAGTGCTGGGGGTGCTGAGACAGTATACAGAATTCAGCTCTGTTAGGACTTTAGGTAGTGTAATTGTCTCTGAGTGCAATTTTATTTCACTTTCTGTTAAAATAATTCTGCTGAAGTATCTCTGTAAAGCAGTGTTTCAATACACTGAATGAACACCAGTACTCTGGATGTTTTCACTTAGGTTAATTCTGAGCACACAGGGCCACCAGAGTAGTTGACAAATTATGACGACCTTGTTTAGTGCCTCCTGGCTTTTCCTTAATAATGGATATTATCCCAAGATTTCTGTCCTTATGAAGTGTCATGCTTGCATATTTTGTCAGTGAGTTCATCTGATATGGGAAACTTCTACTTATATTGAACTAGCTAGCTCTGACATTTCTAAACTGTGATGACTTACTGTTGTAGTATGGAGCTGTGAAAATATAGTTGTCATTATCTAAACTCCTCTTATAGAAGCTGACTTCATAAGTTTCAGCATTTTCCAACCAATCTTCTCCTGCCCTAAATTTAAAAAAAAAAATACAGATCAAAAAAAGTCACTTTAGCATCTCATTAAATCTGTGCTGTAGGTTGTTTTCTTTCAGTGTTTCACAGTTGGAAAACGTGAGATTCATTCTTATAGTCCTCAGGAACTGCCAGTTTTCACTGGTTAAAAGACAGGTGTAATCATTAGAACAACCCCAAACAAACAAACTTTGGGAAAAAAAAAATTAATATTCTTGGAAAACCACTAATTTAGTCTCATCACTTTTAGATTTGTTGTGACAAATACAGCTGCAACACTACTTACAATGAAATCTAAAGGAACCCTTACAGCACATGCCATACTTTGAGCTTAATCCTAAAATATTTAATATCATTAATAATCCCAAAATAGGAAAGAAACTCACTTGGGAAGTAAAATTCATTGCCATTTTCACATTTGGGGAAACACCTAAGAAAATAGATAAATTTGCCATTTACCAGTAGATCTGTACTGGTGCCCTCACTATTCCCAGTCACTCGTGGGGGTGTGTATAGTTTATTGCATGTCCAATTTCACATTCCCTTTTTGATAATGATAGATTTTTCTCTCTTGAAGTCTCTGGACCTTTAGGTCTCATTTTAGTCTAAAAATATATATATCACCTACTACTTTCCAATATTTGCAGCCTGCCAAACAACTGAATGCTTGGGAGTAATTAGGAATTAGCATGGCCCCACTGCTACTACACAGGCATAGCTTTTGCTGCTACTCTACACTGATTAGAAACTTGGATTGCAAGGGCCTGTCATGAAAATAATTGGACAGATTAGTTTCAAGCAATGACACAGGTAAAATCAAAGAAAAACAAGCCGTTCCATTAATTTCATAGCTATCAGTACAAAGTAGACCCTAGGAGACTGTAGTTTTCCATTCAATAAAGCCACTCTTTAACAGTCCACCCTTAAGGCTTCAAAATACCATATTATACTATTTTGTAATAATTCTTACCTTTTGGGGAACACTCTAGTAATTCCACCATCTGTAACAACAAATTGTGCAACAACTCCATCGCTGTAAATAAAAATAAGACTTAAAATGAAAACTGAAATTCTCACAAATTTCTATGTCAAGGGTTGCCATTAGAGTGCATAACTGTGAATAAATACCTATTCTCTGTAACATTAACTGCATATCTGTATATGCACACAGATGTATAAGATTTTGTTTTCAAACTCTGAAATGCATAAAAAAATCACAGTAAATAAAAAGAATACTTACAGCGACAATTTACTCCAATAATTTTGGACAAGTTCAATTGTGAATCCTGCATCCAGCAAAACTCTCATGATCATGTCAGTATTACCTATCAAAAGAGTTAAAATGTAAGTCATCTGTAACCATGTGAGATGGAGTTTCAGTAAAAGCCTAAATTGCAATTCTGAGTTGTCAAGATTCTGCAGCCACAAAAATTGTGGCTCTTAATATTAGACATTCTACTTAACTTCAAATTATGTCATGTAATTAGAGTTAGACAGATGCTCTCACACTGTTGAGTTCACTTAAACATTTTCTTTGTATCCTAAAAATGTGTCTTTGTGTCACAGGAATAAGGAAGGTGATAAGGGTATAGGCCACAGCTTTCCAAAGCCTCTAAAACTGCAAATTCACCTATTTTTAAAGCATGCGTTCATTAAAACACTTTTTATCTCAGTGGATGCAAGGAAACAACAATTCCTAATGAAATTCAACTACATGATAAATATATTTAGATCAACTAAGTCCCAGGCCCTCAAATAAAACAAATTTGTCATCTGAAAATGGATACAAGGAAATAAACTCATTTTGAATCAGTAGCTTAGACGGAGGTGCCATGGTAAATTTCTTTGAAAAGATGCTTTGAAGTCAGTGCTTCTCAACAATCTTTTTCAGTAACACTTTAGCAGAGTTACTGAAGAATATTTCAGTGTGGGGATTTTATTCGTTATTCCTTTTGAAAAACATTTTTAGCTGAGACAATTTCTATGGCCACTCAGTCCTTTAACACTGTTAACACTGTTTATTTATTAAGGAGACTATTTTTAAAGTAACTTAATTAATTAGAAAAAAAAAAGAACAAAAAAATTGCTGCATATTCCAAACTGAAATACAGCAAAAAGTGGATAAAATTTTGGAGTAAGTACTTACTAAGCACGATTGTATACTACAACGTCACTAAAAGTGTCCTCAATATTAGCTTAAATATTACATACTTTTTACTTCTTATTAAATTTTATTAAATTATCGTTAATTACTTTAAGCACTGGAGGTGAATGTTTTCATTTCCAAGACTGAGTCAAGGTATTCAAATAAAATTTCAGTCAGTCAGCAACGTGCCAATGAATAAGATTATTCTATTAAAAGAACACCAAACACCCATATGTGCACACAAAAATATCCTTTTGTGAGAAGATAACGCATCTAAGCGGACATTCCTTCAGTTACAGTCTAGCAGAGAGATTCTTTCTGAATTGACCAGTTATCCCTGACAGCAACATGTCAAAAAGACTTCAGGAAAGCAAGACCAAAAGAAAAAGAAAAATATTATTCCAAATATTTATAAATTATTAATAATGATAAACAGATGTGTATGTACCAAACCAAATCCAAACACTGATTTTTTCTGGAGAACAAGGCATTAGCACCTTACTGATGGCAATAACTCTTCATTTATTCTAAACAGAGGTTAAGGCTCAATTTCAAAAGATGAATTAATCCCTTCCCAAAGCCCAGGGCTCGCCACTGCAGCAGTTACATGGATCTGTGGTCTTAAGGTGATCAAGCCGAAGTGAAATCTCTTTAATCAATATGTGAACCAGTGATTTCAATATGTGAAATAAATTCCTTCTCTTTTATTTTGGTTATTGGGTATTTTGGTCTTGGACTTCTTTACTTATTTTGGAATAAAATGACAAGAAAGCAGATTGATGATTTCATTACCAGATTTTGAGTCTGTTTGAGATTTACTTTGGCTGCCACACTCAAGCGAGAAAATATAAACTCAAAAATATTTGGAGTGTATTAAAATGAACCAGTATTATTTGATGCTTGAGCAAGATGTTGACAGGAATTATGGAAAACACAGGATACATAATGCCCTACAAACTTTCTTAAATAATGCCAGAACTTGAAAACTAATTTTACACTCTCTACCTTGGATAGAAAATCCCAACACTAGATACATTTCTACTTAAAAAAACAAACCCACAAAATTTGAGCCTGAACTCTCATCCATGAGTAGGTGTTTTCCTAAGGAAATATTTCAGTGAGGTGAGAAGTGTACTTACATGATGAACTGCTTGGAGTATTTCTGTCAATAAATTCATTGAAATTTAATAGAAATTCAGTGTTGTTTTCTGATTTTTTTACATCGTTACAGTATTCTCTGAAAAACAACAGAACATCAGTTTTCTTATATTTTTTTCTTGTGCTACTAAAGCAGACAATTTAGAAGTCCAAGCAGGCTTGTACAGCTATTATGAAGTAGCTGGTATTGCTGCATCAATTGGCTGCCATGATCAGTATTTATTGATTACCATATCAATTATTCAGACATCTGCAGGAAATAAAGTGTTCAAATGCCTGCCTAAGCATTTGTTAAGATTTGAAGTGTAAGAAGACTGCATGCATGAAATAGGGAATAGATTCTCTGAAAAAAAACCCTGAGTAGTAGTGTAGGACATATTAAGACATCATTGTCTGTACACTAAAAATATACCCAGTGAATTTAAATTGCTTCTGGATTAAACTGTACTGGAAAGAACCTGGATTGCTGGTGAAACACAGACACCCCATGCCCAGCTAAGGCCAGATTTAGAGAATAAGTTTCTATTCTCTAAGAAGTTTTAACTGCAATTTTATTAGGGTACAAACCTATAAACACTTTTTGTTTTGTCATATGCAAAGCAGATAAACAGTAAACCCCTGCCCCTTGCATAATGAAATAAAGCAATATATAATTGGGCAATTCATTGAATGCAAGCAAGAAAAACAGATGTCACTGGGCATTTTGGAGGCAAATATTATATGATGAATGGCATTAAACAACTTAAAATGTAGAGTGTTTAGAGTAAAGCAGGGGGCTCTCTTTTTAAAATGAGCTTTTATATTAATTTAATTTTATGCACAAAAGAAGTGTGTTCAAGTATTTAATGATGAAGATATATTACAACCCTTTAGTTGCCTTACTATAATCCAGAGATACCACAGGCAGAATTTACCTTACTATACCAATATTCACATTAAAGCGGAGCTACATATCAAACAGACTTTGTTCTGCAGGATAGTAGGGACTTGCTGAAAGCTGTAATTGGTGCAATTAATTCTCAATAAATTCAGTCTTTCAGAAAAATTAAATTAAAGAGTTAAATTAGGATACATTTTAAGATAGAAGACTTCACATAAATCAATCTATTAATTGAAATTGATCTATTAATTGAAATTTAAAAGTATACAGAAATTTATCAGATAAAAAAATAATGCAATATAATTCTCAATTATCTTAATTGTACAGCACTTCCTTTCTTTATCGTAACTATCTTTTAGAGGAGCTCAATTTTTAGGAAGTCTTTATCATACCAGGTTTTCCTTGCAAACATAATTTTAAAAGGGAAATAAGAACTGCAGAATTTCACATTAAAAAAAACTAATGAAGTTAATAAATTTTCAATGACTTAATAGTTTTTATGTTCAATTAATTGAAAATTAACTAATACTGAAGTAATAGAGAGCTTTGAAACCCTTTGTCTTGAAGTTGGGAAACATGTTGTGGTCAGTATTATGAAACTTATTTTAAAAATAGTTGTAAAATCTTAGAAGTCAGAACCACAAGAAATACCCAGATGTGAATAAGTTTTCCATTAAAATATCAATATTAGTTTTTACATCTCTCTAACTAATATGAGCAGAAATCAGAGCCTGATGATGCTATTTACATTCTAGCATGAAAAAATATTGATAATTTGTTACCAAATTAGGCTTCATTGGTCAAATCTGTATTCTCCATGTGCCAAAAATCAAATCAGATGCAGAAATAACACTTATTACTGGGAAATCAACCAACCTTGGTGCTAAAAATGTATAGCCAGTTTCATCAAAACGATCAAGCTTCAGTGATTCTGTAACTAAACAGATGAAGAGTAAACACCAAGTAAGTAAACTGGAATTTTTGCCATTGTTTCTCTTATCAAACTATTTGGCTAACTTTTGCATGCATCCATGAATTTAGAAAGAATTGTTTGACACTTTCTCCTTAATGAATTCTAGGCTTCTCAGTATTTTGCAACATAGAAGAAATTACTTGATTATTATATACAATGTACAACTGGAAACAGTACAAAAATATCTAACAATTTATTTAAGGAAGAAATTTAATTATTATAGCAACATGAAAATAAATGAGATATTTTCACTAGAAGTAAACTCTGATACAAATAAATATTTGTGATGCTGAGTTGTTAGAACATGAAGAAAAATACTACTAATATTTTCTGCAATAAAGTGTAAAAATCTCAATCGTAGTAGCATCACTGTAAATCCTACCAAAAAAAATGGCTTTAATAGATGATATCACTGAACACTGATAGGACCAGACAAAGAAGGATTAGAGATTAGCAACATATTAAAATGTGCATGAAAACAGAAAAATACTTCACTTTTGTTTTTCCCTTTCTATTGCTATGGGACCCAATGATCATGAAGAGAATCCTGAGATGAGGAATACAGAGGAGAATATCCAGTAGGAATAGAAATATAAGTGAAAAATATCAACTGCAGTAAACAGAAGGAAATTGAGCAACAAGAATATACTTGCCCTTTTTGGATGTCACTATCCATCAGAAAGAGAAAGCAGGGAAACAGAAAAAAACAGGGTAAAGCACAAGGGGTCACAAACCAATATTTTATTCAAACAGCCCCTTGAATAAAAATATTGTACATAGATTCAAAGGTTCAATTTACATAGAGCTGTAGTCTGGAAAAAAAAAGACAAACATCTCTGAAGACTGAAGAATAGGTTCTTAGTTATTTCTCAGTACCTTCTATACACTGTGGCTATTTCAAGGGTCTGTTTTGCAGTTTTTATTGATACAAGTGCAAAACCAGATTATCTAATTCATCAAGAGAATCACACTCTCTGCTTAAAAATTTAAAGTACTCTGTATTGGAAAAAGTTACAAAATTAATCACTGATTATTAAAAGTTGCTCTATTCTTCTTCACATGTGGGAGCAATGGTAGAGGAGAGTGATGAAGTTTTCTCTAAACTAACAGTATCTATGCCTCTCTGAGTTTTTTTGTGTTTTTCAAACTTCCTATTTAACTACATACTTGTTCTAAATTTATCATAACACCTGGATAAAGTTAAAAGGCTGTGATTGGTTCTATTTTGTGTACTACCTAGATTACAGTTAAGCTACACCTAACAAAAAAAAACCAAACCCAACCTTTTGAATACTGGCAAGTATACAAGTATAATTTCCAGTTATCACTTCAGAATCTGCAAATAGTTTGAAATCAGTCTAATATAAAACTACAATGCAAACATCCACTAAAACTATTTGTAAAAAGCAAAATGAAACCAAACTGCAACCCAAACCAAACAGGGCTTTCACATCGTTCTAGCAGAGATAATTTGCTAAACATTATACTGTAACTAAAATACAAAGAGTTATACTTTTGCAGTCTATAGGACAATATTTTGTCCTATAATAAAATGAAAAAAAATAGTATCCAGACCCTTAAAATGACAGCAATAGAGGATACACAAAGCAATGATTCTATAGGCACAGAGCAAGGGGTAGGGATTGTCAGTGGAACTGACATGTTCTGCACATATTCTATTTTTATAGAATATTTCTTGCACCTTAGATGTTCCAACAGGTTAGAATCATTGCTGAAGTTTTGGGTACATCATGGTAACATCACTGAATTCCACAAAATTTATGAGTTTCAAACATTGCTTTTTAAGTGAATCTAAGACTTGGCAATGCCAGACAAAACCAGGGAATCTTTACAGTACTTACATCTGGCTTGAGTTATAGGTTCATCTATTTTGGCTTTAATATAATAAAAGCTGTATGATGGTAACACCAGTGCCAAACTGCAACAGAAATGAGACGAGTAAAGCAATTATCTTATTTGCAGAAGTTTACTAGTTTCAGCTTCTTTGTGTTTTGAAAGTAATTAACTATTTTGTAATTTGGACTGTCATGAGATGAGGCACACACACTGTGAAATACCAGCCTCACACTAAGTAATAGACCCAAGTACATTTATGCCAATCCTGATGGTTTCATTCTTATTTACACCTTTAAACACATATGCACTTTTTAGCAGATAAGCAAGGAATTTCCAAATAACTGGAAATAAAAAAATACATGATTTTTGTATCTTCCTCTGACACACTTAATATCCCAATATAACATGTCATGGTAATCACTGACTGCAAAAATATCACTTAGTACTGTGCTGATTTGTACACATCACAATACCAGAGGCTCTCACTGATAAAACAACAATCCATATCCTCCAGGACATGCATCTGGCAATACTTGCATTCACATTCATTGCATTCAGGATTCAAAAAATATTTTCTTTAATCATGCAGTCACCATCAACAATTATTGAACATAATTGTACAATAATACTTTAAGATTTGCAGAGCATTTGCAAAGTTTTCTTTTATATTAAACTTCTTTTTGTTCAAAATATGTAGGAATTATTTTTGCAGCTAAATTCTACACATATGTAGGAGTTCAGTTCTAAAAATGTATGCAAAGGACAGGAGATATGAGTAATCATTAAATAGTTATCATCAACTCCCAAGTAGCATCCTTAATTTTTACATTTGGATTTCATTTTAATTTTTTCGCTTGGATTTCAGGAACTGCAACAGTTCCTAATGAAGAGCTGCAGAAATTAACATTAGAAATCTTGCACAGTTGACCCATAAATGAGCTGACCTTTAGTGACACATTTGCAATTTATACAGAATATAAGCGAGCTTGCTGAATATTTAGTGATAGCCTTCTACCAATTCTCCTCTAGGGAAATCAGTGGCAGTGTACCTGTCATTAACAGTTACTGCTAGCAGAAATTGCTAATTAAAATCTATAATTTTATGTTTAAAAAATTTTCTGCACGGATACTCTGAGGATTTATTGCTACATCTCATGCCAGGAAGCCCAGGCAGAATTACGAAGTCATGTAAATCAAACGTATTTCTCTAGTGATTGCTAGATGGCAGTCTGATAAAAACTTCCTTTTCTTACAGAGTGTAAAGATAGAGGCAGCTCAACAGAAAAATGGAATAGTGAATAGAAGATCATAGGTTTGTGTTCTGTTGTTAAAACTGATTTGTTTGGTTTTACACTCAAATTAATGTTTGCATTCTCAGTGACTGTACACCTGTGCAGGAGACAACAGAAATTGGGACCCAACTTGTCTGAGGATTACTGTAATTCACCATAACAGAAATAGCATTTTGGTCAAAATTTGACTCAATATTTATACCATCTAGTTTTGAACTAGAGCAGTTTAACTTTCCTGAGACTTGGAAAACCTTTACTTGTTTTGGGTAATGCTAAGGAACGTTTCAACATTCCTTCTAATGTTACAACGTTGTGTGCTTAAATTAATTCGAAGTAATATGCACACCGGTTTCACCTTAGCTAGTACAAAAATTGCAATGCTAAAAATATCAACCAAAATTAACCAAAAGGACACTTAAATAAACAAAGGAAGTCAGTGGACAGAAATGAGTTACCTGTAATCAGTGCCATTCACAGCAGTCCAGGTATACGTTCTGTTTCCTTTATCAATATACCTCTACAAAGAGATATTGGTGAAAAATGAAATTATAAAACTAAGGAGCTTTAATAATTGTGACCTTTCTTTGAGAAATACTGTGTAAAATCAAGGATAAGTCTGATGTATTTCTATTTACTTTTTTTCTAAAATAACAGGTTGAGCTGCAACTCCTTTCCTTAAATATATTCCAAACTTACATTTTGCAAAAGAATCAACCACATAATTTATATTGAGCATTTGCAAAATTTAAATAAAATCAGACAAACCTGACCTGTAATTTTCACATTAGCCAGACCTATGCAAACCATTATCTGTGTGATTTAAATTTGATAAAAAATGCTTTCTCTTTTATGGATCATTTTGCAGTTAAACTAAGAAAACATAAAAAACCCCAACCAAACAAAAAAAACTCAGTTACAAAAAGACTTTGTAGGTAAGTCTTTAAAAACAAAAACACCCAGAGCCTGTCCTTTCAGGTCACAGCAACACTGGCTTAATGCATTTAAATTTGAATCATAACTACAGGCACAGTCTGGTAATCCTGATTGTATAGACAGCCCCTGCTAAACTTAGCATGTGTTTCTAATCTAATTAGGAAGGTCTTGAATTTGGGAAAAAATGTAACATTGAAATAAATGTTTATTTTTAAATAACTTAATACATTAGGATAATCTTTACCATTTGTTTCCTTGTGGTATGAAAAATAGCATGATAGGCACAGTCCCACAGTTCCCCATAGATTTAATCATGAATCCACCTGGCTGACATTGTTTTACTCAGTTTTCCACTTTGAAAGTTATAAGATTATGCCAGCTGCAACATATTATTACTTTAACAATCAAATTTTTGTAAGTATGACAGCATTGAAGACTGTACAGCTGTTGCACTGCAACATTGCAAACACTGGTGAAAGGTACCACAAGTATACCTCAAGGTTCTTTCTTTCCCTATGTAAAAGGATAGTGGGAAAATGACAATGGCTTTGGAAAAGAGGTGACTTATATGACATCAATAAATTGAAACCCTCTCATTACCTGGCTGCTGCTTTTCAGTAAAGCATGAAAGGATAAATAATTTAATAGTAATTTTTGAAAGAAAATGAAAAAAAGATGAAAGACAATGAAAAAAAAAAGATAAAAGAAAATCAGAAAGAAGATGCATATAACAGTGTCTTGTACCCTGATACTTTTCATATTTAAGGTAAAAAGATAGTTGAAGAGATTCCTATTGAAGCCTATTTATAATTAATGTGTACTTCAGGATAAAATCAGCCACTTGAACCTAGTGCTGGCAGTTCCTCCAAATCAGGCACAGTGCCATGGGTACCCCCACAAGAAAAAACAGTGCCCAAGGTGGAGGGGAGGGAAGAGAAGAGCTGGGCTGTAATTAAATCCTGTTGCCACCAGCAATGTCACAATGCTTGAAAGCAAATTGGCTGAAAGCTCCCTTCAAAGAAAACTCAGCGGATAACACATCCTCACACCTCAGCTCCCATTTACCTTTGCCAACTTCCTCAGTGAGCAGTCTGAGCCCATCCCATCCCCAGCTGATCGCTGCCAAGGAACTCACACATGTTATTGCAGCTTTTGTGACCCTTCAGTTTTCACTACTGCCCACCCCTGCTGCCAAATGTGGCAATGCTTTTGTTCCTATGGCATCTTCTCTGTTACTTGGAAAGCCCCTGAGGCCTTGGGAGACTCCAGAGCACCCCACCCACATTTGCTACAAGTCCAGTCTCTATGCTGTAGTATGAAGTCATCTCCCAAGACACTGCTGGGGCCAGCTGCAACACAAAAGGAAAGCGATGCAAACTTAAACCAAAAAGCAAAACAAAAAGAACATAAATTTTAAGCCCGAAGACTGCAACTGTCAGTTCAGAGCAACCGACCACATCAGCCCATTTTATAAGAAAATATATGAAGCTATCAAGTGCTAAGTGATGCATGGCTCATGCGTGGCCCGTGGTTTAAAGCAGCTTTTTTCTGGTTCTAGCAGCCTAAAGCTGGGAGCTGCAATGGCTGGAAGCAGTCATCAGCCAGCCAGCTCTGGCTGCTCCTTTCTTCTCTCAGAGAGGTCTGGGTAGAGGAAGAAATCTTGGGCCATGGTGAAAGGGAAGGTGAGGATAATTAATTTCATTGGCATTGAGACATCTGGGATCAAAGGCTGGGATATTTTATTCCAACACAGATTGTGGTCTGGGCCGTGTGTAAGCAGCACATTCTCATGCACCCAGGGATGTTGCATCCTCCCTCCTGCCCAGATACTGTAACTGACTTCAGCATTTGCAATACTTCCCTCCCTCTTTCTTTGGGCAAAGAGTTGCAGGACCAACTGTTTCAGGCCTTTTGTAGAACAGAGTCTGAGAAATGTACAAACAACCTGAAATCTCTTCAAAATGTTTGCCATTAGTGCAATTTCTTGTACAATGCTAATCATGTTGTATTTTTATGACCTTCTAACCCTTCCTTTTCTAACCACCTACACAGAGCCTTTTTCACCCATAGGTCTGGAAAGGCACTCCTTAAACAAAACAACACAAATCTGAAAATGTCCCAGCATGGAGTCTCTTCCTTCAGTAGCAGTTTATCCTCATCATGACACAGGCGAGGGGATGGAACTGGCATCCACTGGGACTTAAGTCTCTCTGCCTCAGAAAACACCTATTTGTGCAACGTGGTCCAACACTGGAACCATTCAGGAAAACACCACCATTTTTTCACACAGCAGGATTTATCCAGAGATTGTAAAGCAGTGTTGTAAAGCTTCGTTTTAGCATTTTACTGTGAGAAAGCACGAAATAGTAAAGGAGGCAAGGGCACTGCTGATACAGGTCTCTAGAAGAATAAGGGAAGAGGGGAAAGTCAGTATGAATTAACTGCAAGAAATTCTTCTAACTATTGTTATAGTGAGTTTATATCTATGGGTTGTGCAGTAGACTGCTAAGTCATCAAATTAGATATCTTCAAACTGACTTATGGTCAGAGCAAAAGTTTCAAAAAGCTGTTGTGGAACTGTAACTGTGGGGCGTACTGTGGTCAGAACTGCTCCTTCAGCACACTAGTCATGATTCCTTCTCACTGAGGTCCCCATGAAATAGAGCACTCCTGTAATGACCCATATAAAATTTGAGTATTTCCTATTGCTAGGAAACATGTCTGCTTATTAGAGAAAACAGTAGCAGTATTTTTCAGGCATAAGTATTTTGGACAAGATAATAAAGAACTCAACAAGCTGTTCAGAAAGTACATGATATAACTGTAAGATGAATTTGCTTATCCCAAAGAGTCTTCATTTATGGCATAAAAATATTACTTTATTATTTTTTCTCACAACTTTCTTCCCATTCAACCACAATATAAACTACCAAACCCATCCTCACACAACTCTGCAAGCAAATTAAGCACTTTGTTTTGGAATTCATGCACAGAAGTAGGCTGGGTCCATTTCCTGTTGAACAGAGTGTAAGACCTCATCAACAACTGCCTGATTAATGACACACCAAAGAAACCAAGAAACAAAACAATTCTTTTTTTCCTAAGTACATAATTTCTTTTTTTTTTTTTTTTTTTTACTATAAGCCAGTAAAACTAGCATATCTGGAGGGAAAAAAATGGTACAAATTGTCATTACAAAATGAATATTGCAGCATTTCACCATTTCACATTATTTTTCTGGTTTGCTTTATTCCTGTAAATGTAACTCTTTGGGTTCCTATCTTACCTCATCTTGGGACTTGACCAGTGTTTCAAATGTTTTTTCTCCACTTTCTCCATCTATCATTTTTTTCCGAATCTATTGGCAAGCAAGAAAAGGAAAAAGCGAAATAAAAAAAAAGTGTAGGTGTTGCATGTAACATAATCATTCATGAATAATCATTCAAGTGATCAAAACATTTCTTAAAAACACAGAAAATGCTAATACAAATGGAAGTCACAACTCTTAAAAAAATAAGTTTTGTTTACAATTTTCAGATTTTTCCAATTAGAAGTTGTTTTATCCAAATATATACTCCATCAGACTTAAGAAGCAACAATTCTGATATACTTTCAATTGCTAGACCATGCCATAAAAGTCCTTGTTGTTGGGCACTGACAAAGAGAGAATGAATTCTGTGTGCATGAAAAGAAGTTTTGCCCAGCATTTCTTGTGCCTGCCAGTACATCTGTGTGATTCAGGCATGAGCACTGATTCACAGAAACGCTTCTGTACCAGCTCAAGAGCAACTACCCTCTGAAGCAGCCATTTCAAAGAAACTTCAGGCAAAATTAAACAGATACCAAGGCAGGCTGATTACTGTCAGTATAAAAGAACAATTTCAGTGAAAAATGTAAAATGTTTAAAAGCCTTTCATTTGATTTCAGAAAACTAACTGATTATCTTAAAAAGTTATCATTTCTGAATATATTACAAAATCAGTAACTTAAAAATATACAGAGGAATTAATTAGCTGTCTACATTTAACTTTGTTTCTCAGTTCTCTTACTTGTCACAAAAACAATCTTGTGTTAATAGGGAAAGTATTTCAGGTAAATATTCTATTAAAAAGTGTTATGTTTTGAAAAAAATTTCTAGTTTTCCTTCCCAGGAATTGTTACTTCATGAAGAAGAATTTAAGTAGAAATCATGGTGTTTTTCAAAGTAAGAGGAATATAATTCATTGCCCTGGCCTATAAATAATGCTGGGGGATTTCATTTATCTAAATATAAATTCATCTCCATATAAAGTCATCATCTTAACAAATTTAGAATTTAGATTTATATTGAAATAGATACTCATTCAAAATCTAGAACATTCATTGCTTTGCAGTTACGACATGGTGAAATACGAGCAGCAACTGGTGCTAAGAAACCAGGTAATCTCACCTCAACTTTAATATCATTTTCCAATTCAGCATCTAGAAAATCCAGCGTAACAGGTTCCTGGGATTTAGGATTCTGAAGCAGAAGACATTAAATGACCAAATAATAAAAACAGAGTACTTTAGTATTACAAACCACTCTAATCCCTTAATTTCAAATTAGCCTACATTAGTGGGTTTACTAACCCATCTATTTTAATCTCTTGTAGCGTTACTAGTGGCCCTTTCTCATTCATTTTATTTTGTTGAATAGAGAGGTTAATTGGATAAGTGAAAATCAAATTAATATTAATTGACAGTGTCTGTGCACAGCCTGTCATGTATGGGGCTCATTCTGAAATGCTGCTCCTCCTTCCCCTTCTCCTGGTGTGTCACAGACTGTACTGCTTTGGGAGGAAGCACAGGAAGCAGAGGAAGCAGAGGATATGAATCTCTCACTTGATATCCTGCCTCCAAGAAAGGAGAGAGAAATCTGGGAGAGTTTTCCATCCAACCAGTAAGCTGGACAACTGTACTCTTTGCAATTTTACCACGAGCAGACAACACAGACTTGATGATGTGAGGTGGGAATAGACTATGGTTCAAGATTCAAAGAGGCAGCAATTACAGCCAATTATTTGGGGTTTATAAAAAATAAACTCCACTTTTATTGTCAGCATTACAGGACTTCCCTGAACACCTTGGAGTTTCAAAAGCATTTCTTTTGCTTTTATCAGCACTGTTATCTCAGTTTAGAAGATGGAAACCTGTAGCACAGAAATACTGAAACCCAAGCTTCCAGACCTAAGGAACATTGATGATGTCAACCCTCAAGTATGGAGCACAGAGAACTTTGGTGACCTACATCTGTAAAAACCTTGGCCCCACAGGAGTGCTGAAAACCACTGTAGCACTGCTAAACTAAACTGGACCACTCTCCAGCCTCTGCTCCTTTCTCAGATGCAGTCTGCATTTACTTGGCCAGAGCCATCTCCCATATGAGTTCTTGGGAGTCCAACTTTTTTTCTGGCAATTTTGCCTAAGCCCCATTTTCTGTATATTGTGTGTGGCATAAAAATCATCCATCCTCATCACCCAGTAGTTATTTAATGCACCTCCTAAAAGGAAGTGTATTTCTTTATAACTAGGAGTATAGGGATATATTACTTAACCATTTAAATCTGACAGTTCAGAGTAGAAAATGAAAAAAGAAAAAAAAAATTAAGTGACTTCAGCAATTCTCCTATACTGACATGTGGACTAAGGTTAGACCAAAGTCCCTTCCTTCAAAATTACAATTATATTCCTCATATCGTAGCAGTCTCTGGCAAAGCTAAATGTACATGTGATTGTTCTATCAAGGAATGCAAGCATGCTTCATCACAATACATGTATGTACTAGAAGAAAGTAATATCTTGAACAAGGGGTAAAACATGCCTTCATGTAACAGTCTGGAGTACTAAGAGCTTAACAGTAGCCCTTATTTTCAGGATTGTAATATAGAATAGTTCCAGAAGTAAAAAGATTATTTCTTCCTTTTCTTGAGGATAAAATGTACATGTCTCTGGCTATACAGAATCATTCTTGTTCTTAAGAAGACTTACTGTCTGCTAAGAGAAAAAACAATACATTTATTCTCAGGAGGAGAATATGTACTGAAAAGATTGCAGACAAAGATTCTGGGTATTTCCTTAAAATATTTACTGAAAACTTCAAGAAAATGTTTGCATTTCTATTCATACATGATTAATAAAACTAGCAACTTCAATATAATGGCATTAATGTATGCTCCCTAATTCAAAATTATTCAATTATTGCTATGCAGTTGCTTTTCCCTCCCAACAAATCCACACTCTCAAAATAAGTAACAAAAGGTTAAAATGTAAAAATAAATAAAAATTTATATATCTTACATGCAATGGATAATGAATAGCATGGTCAAACCCAAACAGCATGCATGAAGGCATTGGCATGGCAGAGGAGGCATTTATGAAGTTCACATTCCATTCCAACACAAAAAGGAACAAAGAAGGAAATACATGGTAAAAAAAAAAAAAAAAAAAAAAAAAAAAAAAGGAAAAAAAAATAAAGCCATCACATCAAATCAAGGTCAATACTTATTTCAAATGATAACCTGGGCTAGTCATAGTCAAGGAGTCCCAAAGACAAAATAGCAAACTTTAATTATATGAAAATTCAAGTATGCATTAACTATTCTTCTATTTAAGATTTATATTATATCACTTCACATTTCTTAGATGATACTTATTAATCACTTTTAATAGGTAAAAAAACCTAACCATGTATAAACACATTCTTAGATGTGCCTGAGGCACTAAGACAATCACTAAAAGCTGGAACAGAAAATTGCTACGCTGCTACTTTAAAAGGGAAGACTAATTCCTCTTAATGTCTCTTTCCCTCAAGAATGTTTTTACCAGTATTTGGGCTCCATAATTTTTATTTCCAAGGTTGCCATTTACTGGGGTTTATTTCAAGCCTTGAAGAAACAAACTTACAGTTCAGTTTGTTCTTCTCTTTATCCAGTCATGCATGTAACATGACTGGAAAAAGCACACCACCACCACATTCAGCAGCACAACTTAACAAAACAGAACACAAGTAAATCACTAGCAATGAAGCATGTAAACAAAAGAATTGCAATCCATTTTCAGCAGGACAAATAAAGGCAAGGATCTATAATTTCAATGACAACTCATGAAGGAAACAAAGAAAGAAAGAACTGGTGCAGCAACATAAAAAAAAAAGTTAACTAAAATGTTGTGTGTTTTGGGAGGTCAATTCTCACAAATTCTATGTATGACTTTCTTTGCTGCGTTTCAGAAGCCTAGTTCTTATTCATACCTGCAGTACTAATAAAGACAAAGGCTATTAGGCTTTTAAAAGAAGTGATGGAAAAAGTCAGCAAAATCCTGCACCATCGAGGTGAATTCAGGAGCATCTGGAGTGGATGGGAGCCCAGAGCTTTTGCAGTGCACTGCCAGGCAACCCAGCAGCAGCCAGACCACACCATGGCAAGCTGAGGAACCAGGTGTGCTAAGAAAACCAAGATTTTTTTTTTTTTATTATTCAGTGCTGATTTCTCCAGTGCACAAACAGAAATTCCAGCCCTGAGGTGGCTTCCTACACGTGTTATAAACACAGCCACGCAACACGTGGTGAAATCAGCGGCTTGGATCAGGATTTTACACCATGTTTTACTGGTGTTGCTATGCACGCCACGAGTTTTGCATTACAGATTCCCATATATGTAAGAAATCAAACTTGATATACTGTGTTTCAGTTTACTATTTTTCTAGTTACATACTTAATATATTCCTTTAGTGATTTTTAAGTTTTCAGTAAGTGTTTTCTTCTCAGGAATTGCATTACATAAACATGACTAGATACACTGTTCAGGTTAATGACAGTTAATTCTGTGCAGTTGGGTCTGCTAAACTGAGCAAATTCCATGTAAATAGCAGATAAAACATATTCTCTACTCTGACTTCCCCAGGAAAAAAAAAAAAAAAACCTGAACAACTCATAGTCTGTAATTTTATGCAGCATACACTGCACAATAAAACTTTGCAACAAAGTCACAAGAATTGTCTTCTGATCTTCTCTTGACTTTGGGTTTATGCAAGCAAAGCCAGCACAAGTAGTCTCTTTTTATTTCCAGTCTTCAAATTAATTTCAACATCTGAAGAAGAATTTTTACAGCACGACTCTAATTAGCACCTATTAGTAAAGCATCATAATTTAATGGAATGTCCTTCACTACAGCCAATAGCATGTTTTCTATTATTTAAACAGGAAAGGATGCAAGCTTCATGCTTTGGAAGCTGTTTGTCACAATGAACAGTTCTCTAGTTAGATTTTTCCTAGTAAGCAGGGCAGAAGCTTTCTAATTATATTTCCAGGTCTATGCATTCTAATGCACTAATCACCTCCATCCAAAGTTACCTGTACATTGGGTCTCCTTTTTCTCAATTTAACTTTTGGTATGCCCACACCAATTTGCTGAAGTAATAAAAAAGCAGTAATTTATATTTTTGCACTATTAGTTAACAGCCTACTTATAGAATGGAAGTGTTTCCTCAACATCTGTGTTGTCCAGTGCATGTTTACTACTGCAAGCAGAGACCACTCCTCACCCTGATCATGAGTTCTGAGATCTCTGCCAGAATTATACACAGTTTTAGGATAGGGACACAAAAATCAAACATATGTTAATGTGAATAAAATTAACAGAGAGCTCTCCCTTCCACATACTCTGACAGAATAACATATAGAATGAGAATAGCTCACTTTTTTTTGCTTTTATATTTCATCCTAAAATCCAGCTCCTCTTAAGTTTTGTAAATAACCCTAAACAGTAAGACAGAATATTGGACCTCACTGAAGGCATATGGAGTTTTAGGACTGTCATTAAATGGGTTTTGATCAGAACCATAATAAAAATGAAGAGAAGGATTCTAATCTTTAGAATATATTGAGAAATAGAATTATTTACTGTTTTAAAAATGTAATTAAGATTAAGCTTGTTAATACATGCTTAATGGACTCACTCAGTGAGTTCCGTGGTGCATCCACCTGCTCTCTCCCATAACAGTGGGAAAAATATATCCATATATGCAGACACACAAAATTTGCAATAAAACATAAAATTAACTACTATAAAGTAAGTAGCTAATTACACAAACATAAAAAAGGTTTAAGCTGTTTAAAATGATATTAAGATGCATAGTAAAAAAATTCTCGTTATGCTTTGGCATAATTTTCATATATTTCAGCAAATAAGAACATGATGGAAAAGTTTTAAATTATTTTAATATGCTTTTGAATTTGTTGTTTGTTGACTTTTCTCAGTTGTGCAAACAACTTTACAAACTTCAAGACAATTTCTCATAATATTAATTGTGTTGAACCAGTTGAGATTTGAGGAAATAGATTTTCAGAAGGAAAGCAGAAGACATTCAAAAGAAGGAAGCACTGGAAGTGTAAGAAACCCTCACCTTTTCAAAGGCAAAGATGTTGTTATGTTTTATTTTACAACTATTGAAAAATTGCTGCCAAAGAGGGTTAAGATGTTTTTTGTTAATAAGTTAACAGCTATTGGGAGGTTCAACTAAAATTAATATGACATGTTAAAGAAGGTCCATGAATTCTAAATATATCTGTCTTTGTCGAGTACCTTAGTTTTAAACTGTAGTTCTTGTATCAGTCTGAATAGCATGCACCACCCCACACAAACTGGGAGTGGAAAAGTCTAGTCTGTGTAACTGTTAATAACAACAACAACAATAATAATTCAAATGCTTAATGTTACATTTAGACATTGTTCTGCAACATAACAATTATTACTTATAAAACATCCTGCTTTAAACATACACTAAATCAAAGTGTTGAGCATTAAGAGAAAGCATCTCTGTACTTCTACATCCTTTTAAGAGGAAAACTACATGACAGTGTAGTTGTCATGAGGCAAAAAGAAACCATGACAATTAGTATCCTAATAATCCATTTCAGTTTGCCTAGATTTAATTTGGATGAGCTGAGTTTTAAATAGAGGTTTATATTCTTCAATGTTGTGAGCCAACAGTGAAAAATAACAGCAAATCTGAGATGAACAGAATCCTTATCCATCAGTTTCTTACAAGATAAGGTCTAAAACAAGACTATTGCATTGCTTCTTTTTACATTACTCCTGTGAATGAAAAGAGTCTAATTTGCATATAAGGGAAAGATAAATAGGCCAATCGCCATCACCTAATTACTAATAACCTCTAATTAAAAAAAGATTGGGTCAGTAATGATGCAGCTATTTGCTTCTGAAGAATTCATCAAGAAGAGTCATCAAATCAAAACTTCCACTTTTTAAGACATCAAAATCAAATGCAAATATCCAGAAACTGAAGTCCTGCCCAATTATGAAGACTGCATAAAAACCTTCTTTTCCACGGTTTTCCTTTATATTTTTGAAGTGCCTTTTAAAATAAATCAAAAGGGATACTCATTAATAGTTACAGTCAAGTTATTCTTTCTCTTCTTTAGAAGCACTTTTTTCTTTCTTGTGATACACACTTGGCAAAAGATTTCAAATGTATTAATTACTTCACCAGGAAATTAATTCAAATATTCACAAAGCTGACTTCTCCCAGATTAAGAATTAAATTAATCACTAAAATATGTAGATGAATTCTTAATTTTTCTTCTGTCTTTGACAATTAAAGAAGTTATTTTAACTTTCTCACTTATATAACACAACCTTAAAAATTCAAGACACATAGTTCACTCAAAAGATTCAATTAAAATATGAGAATTTTCAAGAAGTCCACTAAACAGAAGATGGTTTCACATGGAGAAACCTTTCATGAAGACCAAGATCAAAGTTCTGATTTCAGAAAAAAAAATAAAAATCATCCATTCATGTTGAAATTTCTCATCAATGTCAGGGAGGCAAGTTATTTAAGAAGATACAGACAATGTAGGATTCTCCACAAGGTAAGGACTACAGCTAATGGATAAAGAGCCAAACTGAAATATTTGGTTTCTATTTTCCTGAAATTTGATGAATGTTGTGTCCTAATCGTATTTAGAAAAAATGTATCATGTTTAAACATGAAAGACTTTTCTCAAGTTAAACTACTAAAAACCTAGTGTTCTGGGGAGGGGTGCTCAGCTAAATCCATCCCAACTCTGAGATCAGGTTTCAGCTCTGGTAAACAAAAAATAAGCAAATAAATAAATACAACAATTCAAGTAAAATACATTGTTCTTTCCTATGATTTCTTTGGTTTTGCAACTATGAAAATTTAAATCTTTTAAATGAGAAAGTATCACCAAAAAAAGTGCACGAAAACTTCTCAGTTTGCTTCAAGATTCTTCACAATGATCATACTGTTTTCACAATGATATTACAGCTACCACTAACTGTTTTCATATGAATACATATATTAAAACACTTCACATGTATAAATATGCATTCAAAATATACATATTTTTTATTTTATTAATAAACAAATTCAATACAAGCCAAAGCTGGTGGATTTGGATGAAGCCATATATGCACCACAGATTTTCCTAACACCCACAAAACTGAGAATTTTCACTATTGCTGTCTGGTACAGTCTGATTTTTTTCTGACAATATCTCCTTTTTATAGAGAAGTAAATTAGAAGGTGTTTCATACCTTTGGCTGGAGATTTGGATGGAGTAGCACATACCCATTAGGATCAATTGCAAAATAGTATCCATTTGGACAAAGCTGAAAGAAAGAAATGAAGTTTAGCATTATATGGTTTTAAGTAATGAAGAAAGAGTAACTAATGGTTTTCAAGAAATGCTCACATTGTGGAATATACGCCTCAGGCATCATGAAGTATAAGATTACTAACACAGACAAGATAATTTCTTAATATTTACTCTTTTAGGATCATAAACTTGGAGAATGATTTAGGCTGATGAAACCTCTGAAGGTCAGCTGGTACAACCTCTCACTGAAAGCAAAAAATAAAGTCCAACTTAAAAAATAAAGTTCAGCTTCAAAGTTGGACTAGGTTTCAGTTCTTTGAATACCTCCAGTGGCACAGCCTCTCTGGGCAGCTTGCTCTCCTTCTTCCTTAATTTCATCTGGGATTTCCATTGCCACACCAATGCTGGCAGCCTCTATTTGAGGCAGTGTTAAGGTCCATTTTCTCCAGAATTCCCATTAGCTAACCCTTAGGCTCCTTCTTCAGCCCAAATGCATCTCTCTCAGGTTTTTCCTGTGTACCAGGTACTGCAGACCCTCCGCCAACTTAGTGGCTCTGCATTGGGCCTCAGAGTATTTATTATACTGAGGAGATCAAATTTGGGCAGTATACTGATACAGATGTTTACTGCACAGCTGGTTTTTACTGCCAGAGCATACTGCTAACTTATGTGCTGTGTGTCCTCCACCACGACTCCTTTCCTGCCCTTTGAGGCAGCCTCTCCCAGCCTGAGCTGTGGTGTGGGATTATTCCATTCTAAATGTAGGATTTTGCATCTGCCTTCAGTCAAACTTGTGATGTTCCTTTTCTTCCTCAGCTTTTGTTTTACACAGCACCAGTTATTTTCATAGAAATTCCACAGCTAGATATCTACGTAAATAAATCAGTCATGTAGAGTAGGGTACACACAGACATCTATATTAAAGAAATTTTCTATAAAGAGAGGGCCTAGATAAATGGCAAAAATTATCAGCTGAAATGATTGTGTACTCTACATTAAGAATCAAACACTTAACTAAAGAGCAGTGCCTTAAGATACAGGAAGATAATTACTTGTAATATGTCCCCCAGTGTAAAAGCTGACTTTTACACAGTGCACCGTGATGGACAAATCACACAGAAACACACATACAGCTGGAGAGAAAACCATCAGAAAATGAACAACAATAGAAAAGAATATATGAAAAGAATTCTGATGGTATTTTGACTCAAATCCAGTCACTGCAGTATGACTTATGAAAGAGCATGCACAGAAATCACACATTAAACATACGAGAAACCACCAATGCAAGCAGCTTACCGTAAATCGGGGTGTCAGTTTTTTAATGTCCTCCAAAGAGACATCGACCCCCATTACTCCAAGAATCAGCTGATTCTGGTAAAATTCCAAAATGTTAGTATGTATGTGACATATTTACAATGGAAAATAACTGCAACAGTCAGTAAATTTGTATTTTTGCCTTTATCACTTTTTTGACAGATATATTTGAGAAGTTGCCTAATTAGTTGTGTGTCTATTCTGAATATTTTAAATTATGTAAAAGGGATTCAAAAGAAAATTTAATAAATTTAGAATAGCATAGAGTATGAAAATTATTTCTGAAGAGGAATACTTTCCCAGATGAATAAAGCAAAAATGATGCAATAATAGTGCCAGGTATACAGATCCTAAACTATCAGCACCAGCACTGAGCACTTTTCATGCTTAGGTTGGGCAGCTGAAAGTGAAACCACAAAACAATGAACTCTTTGGGCTATAGTATAACAATGAATGAAAAATATTCCAACACAATAAAAAACCCCAGTGAGTAAAAGAATCATCAGCATTTGAAATCAGGGACTCAGGCACTACAATTATTTTGCATATAATTTGTTTTCCTACTACAGAAAAGGAGGGCAATAATTTACATAATGTGACCTGAATCCCTTCTCCATACTAATAAATTTGTAAAATTTGCTGGAGGAGTATCTTGCAGCCTATAAATATATTCAGGTAGAGATACAAATTGAGCAGATTTGAGTTCTCTTGCTGCTCCTGTGTACCAGATCACGTCTGTTTAGCTTCTCAGAAAGACATCCTTTGATAATCAGTAGTCTGTGACTTTGAACAAGACTCAGAAAATTCCAGGCATTGTCTTGTAGATAAGATTAAGCAACATTTTTTGGTTTATTGCTTTTTTTTAAAAAGGAAACTATGAGAACTATTCTGAAAGTAAAGTAAAGAAATGGCACTGATCAAACCCTCATTGATTCCTTCTATGCAATAGCTGAGAAACTGAATCAAATAATGTTTTGACTAAATTTCTATATATTTTGACCTGAATGGAGTACACCAAAAGTACAATATTTTACCACACACTGTTCAAGCATATTCCAGGTCTGTTTTTTGCTTTGTGAAGAGGACACAGATTCCATGTCAGACAGTAGTAGGGATAAGTTTTATTTATTAAACACTTAGAATTTAATCTAAATATGGTGCTCTTTTCCATTATTGTTATATATATTACTAATTATATACTGATTTATATTCTCTTTTACCACAAAATGTCATAGCCTCAGAGATTTGCTAGAAATTTATCTGGACATTATTTCTTAGAAAGGTCTAAATAATATCATTATTTACTTCCCATCATCATCTACTTCCCATCTACTGAGCACTTAATGCATTCCCACTGCCACTAAGGCACAGGGATAGATAGTGGAATGACATACCCTGAAACTCAGAATAACAAAAAGGGTAAAAGAACACTGCATTTTCTGTTCCCAGGAGGTTATCAGGTAAGCAAACATTACCCCTTTGTTTCTAATGTACAAGACAATTACACTAAAAAATACCCCATGGAAATACACATACTTCAAAGCATTTAACATTAAATTTAATTTCTATAACTGCTGTTTGTTTTTTTTTCTTTGAACAAAAAGCTTACAATTTTCCCATTTTGTTCCCTTGTTAGATTGAAGACAGGCAGAGTTCCTGTAATCACAAGGCCCAGCTCCTAAAAATAACCAGTAAAAAAGTGAGAAAAAGACTTTTTAGTTAAAAAGCAAATGTTAAGCTGTAATATATTAGAACAATGGAAGAATGTGTGTAGCTAAGCAATTACTTTCAGTTTTTGTAAAAAACAATTACTTTCAATTTTGTAAAAGAATTAAATAATAATACTTCACTGACATGATGAATAGAAAGTTAAAATTATGATTTTTTTTTTGTCCACATATTAGTGGGATCAGTATATTATTTTTTAAAGACAGATGATGGTCAACAACTTAGGATAAAGAAGTTTCAAAAAACCTAAATGTTATGAAAACATATTTGCAGCTACAGTATCCACTATGTGTAAAACTATGGATAATAGAGAGGAAAAGAAAAGGAAGGGAAAGGAGAGGAGAGGGGAGGGGAGGGAAGGGAAGGGAAGGGAAGGGAAGGGAAGGGAAGGGAAGGGAAGGAAAATTAAGCTTAGAAATAGTAAATTTCAATTTGGAGTGATGGTGTTTGTGTTCCCAAGTCACCTCTAGTGTGATGGGGCCCTCCTCTCCTGAAGATGGCTGAATTCCTGCCTGCCCATGGGAAGCAGTGAATTAATTCTCTGTTTTGCTTTGTTTGTGTGAACAGCTTTTGTTTTCCTATTAAACTTTGTCTCAACCCACAAATTTTCCCTTTGATTGTCTCTCCAGTCCAACCAGTGGGGGAGTGAGTGAGAAGCTGCATTGGGCTTGGCTGATGGCTGAGGTTAGACCACAACAGGTACATAACACATACAGTGTTATATGTGAAAAGAACAATAGAAAAATACAACAGATAGAAAATACTTTTTTTACCATCACTACTTTTGAGTGGTGTGCAATAATGTCTATCACGGGCTTGGCAAAATCAAAGTCTGCTCCGGTACTGAGGAAACTGAGGCAAGGAATTTGCATTTATTTGGGAAGATATACGAAATCTGTTTTTCCTTTAGTAACCTTCACAAATCATACTGAAAATAGGATCCAGAACACCATATGTTCAGATAGCCAGGAAAGTTTTGTTTTCTATTCCAGACTGTCCATAGGGGGATTTCTACCTTTTTTTTATGTGTTTGTTTAGGTTTAATTTCAAACTTTTCCCCGTCATTTATGCTCACTCTCCTTATATCTAGTTTATTGAGGAGTCATATCCCTTTTCTTCCTTTGTTTCATTTGGAGGGAAAAAAAAAAAAACCAAAACAAAAAACTAGAACACTATATGAATCCACTCTGGTGTAATCTGTTCTCTATTTTCTCAGTCTAGTAGCACCTTTTTGAATTTTAAACCACCCTTCATGAACTCACATTTTTGTATCAAGTGAAAGGTGATGAGGTCAGAGTTGGTAAAGTTACAAGCAAAGTGAAGTGAATTTTGTAGGAAATTAAGAGAAATGGGGATGAATCAGTAGAGAAGCCATTATTTAGAAGAAACATTGAAAAGATACATAATGAAACAGGAAGGGGATGTATGGAGGATAACACAATCTCCCCCCTACAAAGAAAAAAGGAAGGTAAAGCTAGAGAGCATAACAATTACGAATAAATTTTGCCTAACTGTTAAACCCAAAAAGTATCTGAAAATTCTGGGAATATCTTGAAAATGAACCCAGAGCAACACAAAAATAGAATCTGAAGGAATGGGGCTATGAAACAGGTGTGAATTGCTACAGATACATCAAATTATTAAAGACAGTCTTGAAAGCCAGACTGAAATGAAAGTTCCTCTTCAGATTTTTATTACCTGAATTTATGCAGTAATGTGGCCTCATGTAATACACTTTGCATTACTTTAGTCTTAGCCAAAAAACAGCCACTGGATAGTAAGAACCAAATTATAGGAGTGAGTCCTTTAAGCCACAAGCAAGAGAACTGTAAGCCCTACATGAGGGAATTATTTTAGGGAATTCAAGATAACAAACAACTGTGACAACTTAGACACACTCCCTTGTACAACCAAGAATCAATAAAAGGCTTCAGAGGGGGTTAGATACACCTATGCCTTTATGATCTCAACTGTGATGAAAAAGTCCACAAACTTGAGGCTTTACCTCAGTATTTTACCTTGTGTTGTCCTACTTTATTTACATATAATTATGTGTATATATGTGTGTGTATGTACATAGACAAATATATGTATATATAATCATATACTCACAAACACACATATGTAACACATGAAGGCAGAAAACCTTGATGAATGAACCCACTGAGTATATAAAGTAACACAAGAGATGCCTGCAGGTGTCACTTATTTTACTTGACTAAACAGATCTCTATTCCTAGATACAAACTTATCTTTGGCTTTAACACAGGATATGTACAGAGCGTAAGAACTTCTGTCATCACATCCTTTATGTTTCCAGTAAGTACCTCAAAAATAACAAACAAAACGTGGTTAAGGAACTTCTGCATGTTGAAATTTCGACGAAAAACTAGTTCCTCTGTCATGCTCAGTTGTATTGACAGTATAAATTATATGTTGATAAAAAAAAATTTACAGAAATGCTGACTGACAGGAAGATGTGCATTTTGACATGACGTTAGACGACTATGTGAGCTTGGATAAATACGTGAGTCCAAATGACCATTTTGCAGTAATTTTTGCCCTGTTGCTCAGAAGTAGCTTATTCAGAGAAAGAGATTAGATTTCTGCTAACAATACTTTTCCTCCTGTAGTTTCCTGAGCATGTGTGTTTTACAAGAACAAAGTGATAAATTCAGCAGTAAGAAAGCTTTTCATATCTCTTTTTGTTTATATCCCCAAGGAATTACAACAACCCAAGTTCAAAATTTGTGCAAATTCTTAGTAATACTGATAGATTTCATTATTCCTGGAATGTTCTTTGGAAGGGGAAAAAAAAAAGAAATAAAAGAAAAACTAGGAATTCTAAGAATTCCTCACCAGAAATGTAACAATTGACCTTTACTGCAGTAGGTACAACAATGGAAAGCTACTTGCTTCTTTTTTTTTTTTTTTTTGTTGCTTAATCTGAGAACAGCAGTGGCCTACACTTTAAAGTCTGCAGAGAATAAACTGATTTTCTCTGTTAAATTTCAGGACACTTAGAAGGATACCAGGTGCAAGTAAGACCAGCACATTATAAATAGATCTCACCTAGAGGCTGTGGTATTGACGTGTATAGATGATAGACAAGAATATCATGTTTGTAACTGTAAGAAATTGGATTCTTGAGAAAGTAGACCCACACAGTTACTGGTTTTCTAAAATTCTTACTTTAGTAGAGATAAATACAGATCATACCAGAGCATCCAGATAGACATTTGTCCATTGGACTTGTTTGGCTTGCTCTCCAGCTAAAACCATTGGTCTTCCCAAAACATCCAGATATTCCTGTTAAAAAGTGTAATGAACTCATCAGAAGGCAATTATTAGATCAAAGAGCACAAACAATATTAAAATAAACAATAATTAAATAGTAAAAATTCAAAATATCAGGGGAAGAAAGGAAATCAAAAGTCACCATTACTACAGGAGGAGCATTTATTTTCTTCTTAAAAATTGTACCACAAAATAACTCAATCCTCAGTTTGTGGTATTTACTGAAAAGGTAATTCCTGTATTTCATTCCCAGTCACACAGACCTTACACACTCATAACCACCACTCTTTTTCCACAAAATGAGAATTACAACTATTTTTTATTTAATTGCTAATGACATAAAGAAATTACAAACAGATTACAGAACCATCAACCCAGAAGAAAGAGTGGACAATGGAGGGTGAGTGGTGTAACATCTGGGTATGCTAAGCTCCTACAGCAACAATTTGTGTAACTTCTTTTGGAATAACAAAAATCAGAGCTATAAAACCTCTTTTTCCTGCCTTCCTTCAGTTTGTGAGTATGGCTAAAGCTGGTGATCTTATGAAATGTCAGGTTTCTCGACTTATTTGGGAGTGGATGCCATCAACCTTTTTTCAGTCATCAACTTTTTCTACTTGTCTGATCTTATTAGGGATACATCTTGCCAGACACTGTCTGGAAGAGTTTAACAGAATCAAAGAGTTCTTATTCAAGCCAAAAAAGGATTCTTATTTTCTGCCAAAAAATGTCATGCCTGGCCTTGGAAGGACAAAGGACTGCTATGATATTTCTCTGCTGTTCTGGACATGTGAGTATCTGGACTTTCAGACAACTGAAAAGAATAATTGTTCTTCTACACTGTCCATCTTCAGTTTGGATCTCATCATACAACCTCGGAGTCCTGTGCGTTTATTTATCTACATTCAAGTCTGCTAACACGTTCCTACATCCTTTTTGACGGAAAGAAGTGCAGTCTCTTCCAATAGGTTTGGATCCACCCAGTTACCTCTCCTATAAAACAGGATTGTATTGTAGCACCCACATGAGTTCAGATGCTCTAGCAGGGCTATCCCCTCACATACATCCACAGCCCCCTCCATGTGATACAAGCCCTTTGGATCATGCAGAAAGTATGGCAGAAAGTGAACTATGAATGCCTAGGCACTTTATGAAAAATTACTGTTTTTATAGAACTTTATCATATCATTGCTGTCATGTCTCAGCATCAAAGTTTGAGGGACCATGTAAGGTCTGGAGGGAAGCTGAGCCAAAAGCAGAGTCCTTGTGCAGAGGCCTGCAGGGTCCAGAGCCCTTCAGACACTCCATGGTGTGCCCGTGGCCAGCCTGCTTTGGAGGAGGTGAACGTGACCCGTGTTGTGACCAGCACACAAGCTGCCCTGGGCCAGCTGGCCAGGGTAACAGGGATAATGTTTTAGACTGGTTCTCTGCAACCACTTAAAAGAAAAAGCAGAACATTTTTAAGAGAATAATCCCTTAAATGTAGAAGAAAGCCTTAATTGTTTTTTTTCTTTTCTTAAGGTAGTGAATCTTAAAATTCAATTGATCTTAGCAGAGGTGAAGAGCAAACATATATAAGAACATATATTAATCCACTTTCTGCATGTTAAAACTGCATCTGGATTTGGCCAACTCACTTACCTGGGTGTTTATTCTTATGGCTCCAATAGATGGGATTTCATAATAATAACCTAAAATTTGAAACAGAAATAATGTCATTTTACCATAATAAATCGCTGCACTCTTAATCTTGAAGAATTTAATTTAGCATATAATTTCTAGTCTAAATTGTATTAGATTTATTGTTTATGAATGAAATACTTTTTAGTAGATGCCACCACAATGCATGGCCATATGATGGATCACCACATCAACAGACCAAGGTAGTTACTCTTAAGTAATGACAGTTATAATTTGTTCCTTTTGGCTTTTTTGTTTAACGCTGCATCATACACTGAGTTTGTACTCATGAAATCCCAGTTACTATGATGTGCAAGTATATTTAATGTTTCTTTTAATATGCTGTGACAGCAACCTAATTATATGCTGAATGCATATAGAAATGTAAAAATAGCTATGGTCTGCCACAAGAGTGAATTCATAGTATAAAAATATAAGGCACTCTGTGGAATGAAAAAAAGCTAATGGGTATTTCTCCTACACTGAGAATGTACATCAGAAATGTCTTTATTTAGCACTGATTTTATTGCTCATTTGTTTGAATTAAAAATATTTAAAATACTGTCTGTGTAATAAGACTGAAGACAGGCACTGAGATCCATCTTCAATCCAAGAAAATTTTAAGTCAGATTGGAAGGAAGAGGCAGAGAATTAGAGAGGCAAAAGTATTGATCTTAGTAATTTCCTTTGCTGTATGCAAAATCTTTTAATTTTGGAAAAATAAAATAAAACTGCTTCTTTGGATGTGCAAACAAATAATCACAGGACTTTTGGGCAGAAGATTATGATGATTTTGCTTCAATAATAAGATGACATAGGTGGTTATGCTTTAAACCAGCTGGTCCTCATTTGTTTTAAAACAATGGAGGTCACACGCACACAGTATTTTGAGATACAATGTTGGTAAAAAAAAACTGTTCAGAACACAAATGTCAATTTTCCCTTGTTATCTGACAATACAATCTGCTCTTCATGGAGTTGCAGTATCCTTTGCATGACTTGTCAGCATGCTGAGGGTTTCATGAGGTTATGACACATATGTATGCTATCCATCCAGGCTATGGATTCTTCTAGTTTGTTTTTTGGAGTTTTTTTCCATATCTATGCCTTTCTCTTATCTTTGCTTTATGTTACTCTTCTGTCTGAGCATATCTTTATCTCTTCCCTGGCAGTCCTAGTTTTCGAGACCCTTTGTAATTGAGCTCACCTCTCTACTCCTGCTTCTCACCAATTTGTAAAATAGTTACACATTTTCAGTCAGGCCTGGAAATTGCTCTATTTAAAACATAAGCAAATGTTTGATAAATTATATATTTTCTACTTATCTCTATTATTTTCTATTATTTCATTCCTATTTTCTGCTATATCTCTACATCTTATGCCTTGTACAGTTATATTATAAAATATTTGAGACTTAAATTTCTCACACTCTTAAAATGTTTCTGAGTACATTTTTAATGTAAAAATTTCATGTAGAAAACATTTTACTTCCTTACTTTCACCTTATTCACATTTTCTTTTTGTCTTACATAAAGAAACCAAAATAAAAATAGAAAATACAAGAAGCTCTCAGAAACTAAGAAATCACAGCAAGAATAATTTTGATAATTTTATTTAAAAAGGGAAAAAATTCTAAGTATCTTATCCCTTGTAGGTTTTGGAGAAAAACAGAAAGAAATGTAATGAGCCAACTAACCAAACAAAAATCCTTTTGTCCAGACCACTTAATTTAAACCAGCTTTGCCTAATTTCTTATCTGTCATCAGTTCCAACTTTACATAGATGGCTATTACAACAAATATTCTCAAAACTGAACCATAATGGCTCATTATTATAAAAACTACTGTGGTACAATATGAAGATTTTAAATAAAGTAATAAAGAAATAAATATATCAGTTTCTTGCTTACATATGACTTTTTCATGTCTATATTATGTAATAAATTAACTTTGGAAATGTTGATAACAAATACAATAAACTTACAAAACCAAGCTGCAAAACCTGCCATTTTTAGAGAACAAAGATATCAGCTACCCAAAGCTCTAGTGAAGATCAGTTTAAAAGAAAGACACAGTACCTTTATTTTCACAGGCCATCCACTGTATGGGTCCTTTGTCATAATTATGTTGGCCAACAGAAAATGTGAACACACGTACCTGTGCAAGTCAAAAACCAATGCATGTAACAACTGTGTATCATTTATTAGTTGCGAGCCTCAAGTCAATGATACCTGGATTTTTCATAAATTTGAATAGAAAAAGAACACTATGAATTCTCCAGTTTTTGAAACCAGTATAGATACGAGAGATGTAAAAAATAATAGACTATTTTATTTTGTGTAGTACTATTGTTTCTTCCATGACATAGAGTCAAGAAGAATGCTCTTTTAAACACCCTTCACACTTTAAAAGTCTTACATTGGTGATTGTTCATGAATTATTTTAATTTTTAAGTTCCTTATTCTAGTGCAGCAATTATAATTCTTCAGGTTTTGTTAAATTAGTTGAAAAAACATATCAGTATTAGATGCTTACCAATGGCTTAAAAAGAATATATGTGTGGAAGTAGAATTCAAAGCAATGCAAAACAGGACTTTTTAGCATTTAAAAGTTGAAATTTTCAGATACTACACAAAACAATTTCTCTTTTTGCTCAGACTCAGTCTTCTTTATGTAAAACCACTAAATTAGTTCAACAGATATCAACCTCCATACAATGGTTAAGCTTCTGATTTTTCACCTTAAGCTCTTGATATTCATTGTGAGGTTTTTCAGAATAATTCCACTTTTTTTACATAATGCTATTCTAATCTATCTCAGCAACTGTAAGGAATTATGGCTTCAGAAAAATTCGCCAAAATCTCTCCAAGTTTTGGACTGAAAACAGACTTTTCAGCTGAGATAGTTTTCCATGCAATTTTCTGATTTGAATGAGAAAAATTTAAACTCAAAACCTAGTATTGCTTTAAAATTATTTAAAAAATCTTACCAGACACACAGAAAAATTAAAAATATCATTTTTCAGCTTCTAGCTGAGTATTTTGCTCCAAATTTGAGTTCTTCTGTTAAAAGCTGGGAAAACTGTTTTCCCAACAGTTTTAATAAACTGCTCACTATATTTGTGTCCCTCTGTTCAAGGGTCAGACACCTTTTCCTTTTTAGGCATCTCTTTCTTTATGGATCTTTACCACTTCAATATACAAATCATAGATCACAATATGAAATCAGAATGAAAATTCCTTTCCATTGATTGGATGCTTCAAATTAAAATATACTACAATTAATTTGCATGCAGGCTGTGAGCAACTAATAAGGTAATGTTTTTGTTAAATAATACACTGTAAATTTGCAGACTCCTTGTAAACAACCTATCATTGCTAAGTTTGTTAATGATTATTTATAAAAGTTTTCACCACACTATTTAGCATGTTCAATTAGTACCCAAATCTTCACTTCCCAAATAGGCAAACAAAAAAAAAAAAAAAAAAAAAAAGTGTGACATAATCAGAGCTCAAGTATTCACCAAGAGCTGTAGGAATGGCTTCACATCATCCATCAGCAGGTAGCAAATGGTGAAACTTTATTAGTGTTGACCCCTGTATGCAAGAAGGGCAAACAAAGCTTTGTGCTGGATGCCATTTTTAATTAACAATATGTTTTGATTTCCTTTATCCATACAACCCCTTTGTTTCTGCAATTAAAAGGAGAATTAAAGCAACTGATTTAAGTGCTTGTTTTATAGTTTAAGACTACTCCATATAGGGTCATTCCCCACTAATAAGTCAGGCCAACTACATTTCTGTAGGGATAGGAATGATTATGCCTAGCATGATGGTAATTTTTTTCCTCATACTTCATATAGATAGAGACAGATGAAAAACACCTTCTACTACCCTGAAAATATCAGAATTGACAATGTAAAAATGACTTTATCCGGCATGTTTACACCTCATTTATTAATAATGTACCACATTTCCCATCCCCCTTTTATTCTTGACATCTTTTAAAAAATGACAGCTATAATTAATCTAATAGATCTTCTACTTAATTAGCATCTAATTTTTCTTATCTGATTATCACCATGTTATTTTATACTGGCACCTCTCAGCTCACAAGGTCCCTGCCTACTATATTTCTTTTCTTTTTGAATTCACACTGCTCCCAGTTCATTGTCCACTAAACATTTGATTCAGAATAGATTCTTTTCAAAAACTATGGAAAAACCCCACTGATGGTCACTAATTAGATGCTTGAGAGACCTGATGTTTCTTTTGGATTAAAAGCCACCAAGTCATGTGGGTTTTCTTGTGTGTGCAGAAAACATATGAGTCAATTAGACTGGACTGTCTAGCATTTGATCTCAAATGTAAAAATGAAACACTGAATTGGATTCAAGTTGCGAAATGCTGTGTAATTTAGGGAAAAACAGCAGTGTGTTAAATCTGCAACAAATCTATAAAGAATTTAGAATTTAAATTATTGACAACAAGCAGGAGACAATATATCTGATTTACTGTTCCTTGGATAATTAACAGAGATAAAGAACTGCAATGAAAATTGGAGATTTTAATTGTTACTTGGTTTGGCAAGAGGGTGGGATATTCAAAAGAGTATTCTTTTTCCTATTGCCTCATCTGGAATTGAGTAGGATGACAGACCAGCTGGAAAAATGAGTCAGCAAGTCAAATTAAACAAGCCAATTTTAACACAAAAAAAAAAAAAAAAAATCACAAAAAAAACCCCAACAACAACAACAACAAAAAAACTCTCTGCTAAATTTTCTGTGACAGGACCCAGAGCCAGCCAAAGTACTGAGACGTACTTTTCTATATGCTTTTCTTATAGAAATAAACAAAGCAACAACAAAAAACCCCCAAACATTTAATTAATTTCAATAGGGAATTTATGACTAAGAACACTTTAGGCAACTAGATCAGGCACAATGGGTATGAGCACCTCTCCCTTTGCCCGTCCTTTAAACTTGGTTTCAACCAAGTGGGTTTCTGAGTTGAAGCTAACTGCCAAGGAGTCTTTGATCCCCAGAAGTTGTTTTCCTGCACCACTGAGGCCTGGTTATTGCTTCTCTCTGCTTCTCTGCAGCCTCTTGGGTTCTGTACAAACTGCAGATCCTGGGTGGTTTTGCCATGACGTTTCCTCTCCACCACTCTCACTAGGGGATGGACATTTGTGCTCCCCAACCCATTTCCTAGGGAAAGGGCAACCTTGGCTCAAGGCAGATCTGTTTATTCTCTTCATAAAGAAACACAACTTCCAAAGCAGTAAAATTAATGGAAAAATAAGATAAACAAATAGGAGCTGTCATGCTTTCTGATTTGCAATGCAACTATTCAAAGTAAAGTACTTCTAGAAAACTTCAACCCTGAGAATTGAGAAGAACTAGAGATGGGCACCAGCCTGCCCTGCCAGCCCATCCAGGCACTGTCTTGAAATTGTTCTGAAATATAAAAGTCCTAACTTTTAGCAAAGGAGTTCAAAACTAATTCTCTGCATTTTCCTCACTGAGACTAACCTTCGGGAGAAAAAAAAAAAAATCTTTGTTATAATAATTTACAGTATATAGCAGAGGACTACACTAATTAGCAACAAAACTGAGTGGCACAGGCTGCCCAGTGAGGTTGTAAATGTGCCTCCTTGGAGGTTTTAAACACCACACTGGATATGGCCCTGAGCAACCTGGCCTGATCTTAGACCTGATATTGAACTAAAGACCTCTGCAAGTCACTTGCAACCCGGCTTATCCTAGGAACTTATGAAGGTCAGCAAAGGAATACATGCAAAAATTCAACTCCTAAACAGAGCAAGTGATACACAGAAAAGAATTTTACAAAAACAGAGGGAGAAGAACTTTACTGAAGAAAATATAATTGTATAATTACAAAATTAATTTTCTATTTATTTGTATTTCTTTCTCATGAATAAGATCATAAGCACCAAGGTGAGTAAAAAAGACTTTGACTGCTACACATTTTTTGGGACAATGGCACTCAAGAGAGTTGTGGTGTGTGTGAGAAAAATGAAGGGGTATCTCTGAAAAGGCTGCTTTCCCTATAGATTTCATTTGCTTTCTATGTATTTTATCTCTTCATTTTGCTATTGGAATAAAATTAAGAAAGGTTAAATTAGATGCTTCCTTTGGCTATATCATGTTATGAGTATTACAAAAAAATTAAGGCTTGACTGAAATTAATTCAAAGGGGTAATTAAACACAATGCACTTGCTGTTTAGGCTACTGCCTATATATGCAGACAATGCAGAATCCTTGAATCACTGAATGTTTTCATTGGAAGAGAAATTAAAGATCATCTCATTCTAACTCCCCTGCTAGGCCTAAAAGCACTGCACCCACTCTGTGTGCCCCTTAATGTGGAAGAAAGGCACATTTTTGAGAGATAAATTATTTGTCCTGAATTCTGTGCTACTGCAATGAGAGAGCTCTCAATAACAATTTGTTTTTGCATCTCTTTACTTCTCTGTTTATGAAAAGATTGACTTTTGGAGAGATATATGTCTATTTTACCAGATACCAAGTGAGCTACACAATTAATTAATTTAGTTGGATGCAGGCAAGATGAATTCTGTCATTTTATGCCTAGCATGTAAAGATCGCATCTCTCTGTACCACTAAATAAACAAACTGACTATGATCAAAAACTGAGTTCATCAAATCATTCAGCTTTGGTTTTCATGATGACAGTAAGATTTCAGAACATTTTACTCTGGCCTTTATAGCTGCAGGTAAAGATTCACAGACAATCTTTTTTACTATACAACAAGAAAAGCTGTGCTAAAGGACAATAAATAATTCAGTAATTCCAGAATGACCCAGGAAATTGTCTTTCCTAGTAATGAGTTTACAGATTATCAGAGATAAGGAAAAATCGACTGCAGTTTATATTTAATAGGTACACTTCTGAAATAAAAGGACAACATAAGAAGCCTATCATTCTGAATAAAATCAAAAACTGTTCTTCTATTTTCCATTATGCATTCTGTCTTCTAAATCCCTTGTAAGTATAGCTTGTAAATCACTTAGTCATTTTTGTGTTTTGTGCTGTAGGCCAGGGAGATGTTATGTAGTTTTCAAGCTGCCCCAGCAAAAACTGTGAATGCATTTTTTTCCTTACATTTTTATATC